ACTATTTTCTTGTGATTTCAAGTTCTTTCTTAAACTCGACATTTCTATTGTTTGTCGGTTGTTTTTTTCGTAATTACATTGTTTTAAAAAACCCGAAAAAGAACTATAAAATTATTACCAAGTACCAAGAAATGTCGTTTTAAAACCCCCAATCTATCCTGAAGTTTTTGTTCTGAACCCATTATAAATGACATTGTATATTATTTTACCATAGAGCCTTAGTCTTCTCATATCTGTTACTTTCTATCTATTTCAGGAACCTGAACTAGACCCTGACGAATTATACAGACAGCATATTATAAAGAGTAAGCGGATGTTATCTGCTTTGCTGGAGAGGTATTCAAATTATACAAATAAAAAGGCATAAACTTCAGTGAGCAAATAAACCTCCAGCATACTGTTAGAAGTACATATTTACAAATAATTACTGAGAGCTCGTTTTCAAGCGTATATGTGTGTATTTCAGAAGTGAAGGATGGGCTGTGTCTAGCAGTAAGCAACGACCAAGTCCGTATCACGGTCGAGAACATCAACCATCTCCTCAGTGTCCTCAACATCAACACCTATGACGAAGACGTCCTCGACCTTATCAGGAATGCTCTCATTGATAGTAAGGTGTAACACGTAGTGACTTGTAGTTGGAGGTGCCTATGTCCAAGTGACAGTCCGTTGTGCAGTAAGATATCCTGGCATGTGCAGATATCGCCGCTTGATTCCTACCCGTGGGAGTCGTCGGACTTAGATATCCCTGCTTGAATTCCTACCCGTGGGAGTCGTCGGACGTAGATATCGCCGCTTGATTCCTATCCGTGGGAGTCTTCAGGAGTAGATATCGCCGCTTGATTCCTACCCGTGGGAGTCGTCGGACGTAGATATCCCTGCTTGATTCCTACTGGTGGGAGTCTTCAGGAGTAGATATCCCCACTTCATTCATACCCGTGGGAGTCTTCAGGCGTAGATATCCCTACTTGATTCATACCCGTCGGAGTCTTCAGGCATATGTTTACAAGTGTGTGTCTTAAAGAATGGATGAACCAGCATCCATTAAGTTTGCAAGCATGTGTCTTCAGGCATAAATGACCACGTATTAAGTTTACAATTGTGTTAGTTTAATCGTAGATGTGTCTGCAAGTATGTGTTTAGATGCAGAACCACGTACACAGTACTCGCAGCTTACCCGTGTGCGTCTTCAGTGGTAATGTACAATAGTAAACGCACTTTCTATAATAATATTTGTATAAACAACACTTCGTGAAAACTTCTCCAACATATCTATATATGCTGCATGGTCTTTCTTCAGCTGGAGGAGATATTGAAACGGACGACTTCGAAAAGGTTGTTCTCAAAAGAGTCTTGACAAAGGACGAGGAAGTAGAGAAGGCGATAGAAGATGCCTACCGTATCGTAGATGTTGACGGCGATGGAGTCATTACCGCTGCTGACATATACCAGTTGATGTTGGCCATAGGAGAGATGATTACTGATGATGAACTCGTACACATGCTTAAGATGGTTGACAGTGATGGAGACGGCCGAATCACATTTGAAGGTAATATCCTTTTGAAAAATGTTTTAATAAAAGTCTCTGAGACAATAATTTTCTGTTCTGATACGATACCATTTCCATTTCAAATACTAGGAAAAGAAATTACTACTTCAAAATGTTGTTTATACAAGGGGTTCTGAATTGTTATTTGGGAACGGTAACTCTTGTGAATGCTAAAACGGCAGATGTTGACAGAGACGCATCTAGGTGATAGTGGCACTCCACTCGTGCCATATCCTGAAAAAAAATATTTTCTCGTAGCTCACATTTGGTCCAGTGGGTAAATACTAAGCCTAATATGTTTCAAGATTTTAGGAAATTCATTCTTGGTGTGGAGGACCCGGAGACGATTAGTGGAGAACATTGTGAAGAACATGCAGCTACAGATACCACAGAACCAGAACCGCCGGTGTCTGTCATCTACCAGCCCCCACCCAATCACAAGAGGAGGAGTCTGTTCACGTATGGTGGCATGATAGCTAAACAGTTATCTGTTGTTGCACTCATGAAGGACCTTGTGGGTACAGCTGACCATGAGGGGATGACAGACGAAGGCACTAAAGACACTGAGAATGACCATGACGAAACAAATGAAAGCGCCGACGACGCTAAGACACAGGACGAGAAGCAAACAGACGTTGGCACTGAAGATATTAATGTAAAGGATGTCGAGGGGGTTGGTATGAGAGGCTCTGGTGATGTCACAATGGAGACACTAAGTATTGAACCCAATAGACATTTACAAGAAGGTGAAACGCAAGTTAGACCCGACAATCATTGCCATGTTAAGGGCGATATTAAGAAAGATATGTACAATCCACCAGTGCACAGGACAGGCACAGATGACCCTACAACAGAAAACCCATTCAAAGAAAGAGAAGATATGAAAGACAATGAACCAGATTTGGATGAGAAGAATAAATCGGGTAGTATTGGAATAAACATATTTGTTGGAGGGTGTTCTGAAGAGTTTATGGCCTTAATTAAACAGGAACCTACTGCCGAAAATGATTTCCAAAATATGGGGAAAGAAGACAATTGTTCCATGTTACCAACTCAAGGTGTTCCTGAAAAAGAGGTTAAAGAACACACAATACAAATTGGAGAGCATTGTTCAGTGAAAAGGGAATGTCCGCCAACGCGCTACAGTGAAAAGAGTCCATATTATGGTCGCATAAGGCCCATAGTGTTCAGCATGAATCCTCTACCTCCTCTGGAATCCTCTACCTCCTCTGGTGAATCGAAGATAAAGGAACCAGTAAGTAGTATGAGCACTGAAAGTACTGACGCTGATGCAACGCGAGTATGTCATCCTAATGAAAGTCAAGTTGTGAAGATGAAGGATAAACACATTCAGACATCAGAAGAATTTGATGAGAACATAGGAGAGTTTGGTCAGGCAACTGGTGTGATTATGAAAACCAAGGTTGACACTGAATCACAGCTTGATGACACTTCATCGGATAATAAGCCTCTTAGGCGTGACAGTGCTACCATAACAGAGGTCCATGGCATACCTGATCGACTGCGGAAGATGAAATGTTTACAAAAGGCTATTCTGAAAAGGAGAAATACAAGTTTTGATATGATAAGAACACAAAAGAAAAGATCCCCCTCAAGCGTCCAGTTACAGAGGCAATCCACATCATGCGAGCTGTTAAAACACCTGCCAGACCGTCCGCGACAGGTGATATCCTTTCCTGAAAGACACCCTTGCCATGAAGAAGAAAAGAAAGAAACACTTATGACACCAAGTCCTCCAAAGACCGGATTCAGACGTTTCGCAGAGAGATTCCGCATATCAAAACCTCCACCAGACAGTGTATATGATATTGGTCATTCGACTAATTCCAAGAGCATAAGCATCATTGATGTTTCCCCTAAAATAATTGACGAAAGCCTGTATGAACCTGATGTGGAACTTTCAGAGAAGCATCGCGGGTTCAAGAGTATACGCCCATTATCTCGGGTTCTAATGGCCTTAAGAGCAACTTACAATGCAAAGAAGGCCCAATCAGAAGACATTACATCTATATCCAGGGATTTAGAGGAAAATGGAACACCATATACAAGAACGAGTCCTACATTTGAACGTAAGGCTACCGTCATGAAACAGAAAACACTGTCCAGGTCTAATACCCTCCTGAACCTTGAGCTGCCCATTGAAAATTTTTTCAGACCCAAATTGAAGAGAACTTCAACATTGACACGTATTCCTGTTGATAATGGAACCAAACATAATATTCCTGTGTTCTTGGGATAATTTCATTGGGAAAATGTACCTGTTTAGTTACTTTGGTAACAGTGTTCATTCATTAAGGTGTTGCCTTTCTGGGTGATACGAAAATATTTACTTCATGATATTACAGTTTAAAATGTACAGTATGAAACATACAGCTTTATGGCTGACCACTTCTTCCTTACTGCACAGATCGAGGTTTCGATGTAGATTCTTACATCGTTATCAAGCTGAATGTGACCCTTAAGTGATTTTTAACTTGATAACGATGTAAGAATCTACATCGAAACGTCGCTCTATGCAATAAACAAAATGTCGTCATTTATAAAGTTGTAAATCTCATTCTTGATTTTCCGATCAAACAATAAAACGTACGATGTTTGGCTACTAATTCAACGTTTCTTATCACGTTTAGGATCACTATATGACACTCAAGCAATGAATGAGTGATAAAGTTTGGGTTTACATCATTGTAAGGAATGTTTGATCTATATCAAGACTGAGATCAATCATGAATATTTAAATACATACTAAGTACATAATAATCGAGAAAACGCTTATGGTCAGGTTTATCATATTCTGGTATAGTGTTTCCTTCATGCATCGCGTGTTTCCATGTGTGTAGAATACAACTTGTATAGACTCTGACTCATTGTTCCTGAACTTTACTCGAAATTTGAAAATTGATCTGTGAAACAGATAAGTTCATACCATCCAAGGTATAACTGAATATGATATGCGTACATTCATGATGTAAGTGACCCGTGAAGGTCCGAGTTAGAAGAACCTTGAGTAATCCATGCTTGTCGTAAGAGGCGACTAACGAGATCGGGGGGTCAGGCTCGCTGACTTGGTTGACACATGTCATCGGTTCCCAATTGCGCAGGTCGATGCTCATGCTGTTGATCACTGGATTGTCTGGTCCATACTCGATTATTTACCGACCGCCGCCATATAGCTGGAATATTGCTGAGTGCTGCGTAAAACTAAACTCACTCACTCACTATGATGTAAGACATTTTCTTCATAGATAATTTTACCATTACTGACGATGTTATTCAACATTAAAAGTTATGGTCGCGGCGAAGCTATTTTGCTGAATAATGCTATATCAGTCATATCGCGGACTGTCAACTGTACATGGAATAATGAAGTGATGGAAGTTACAGATTATTTCCACTTTGCATAATAAGCATTTTAATGACAATAAAGTAATGCAGTAAAAGACAGATTTTATTTTATCTTTTAAATATATTGAAAGGTACGTCAGAGGGAAATTAATTCAAAATACGAATCAGATTTCCTAGGACCAAGAATGAGAGAATCGGTGAACTGGATGTACACCATGTCTCCTGTGTGGAGTATCTCCTGCACTGTGAGATCGCTGTAACCATCGCATGGCAAGGACTGACAAGGAGAGGATGACACAGTAGCTGACTGCAGGATGGCCTCCGTATGTGATGTCGCATCGAATCTGACGATGTGATGGGTAGCCTGGGTTCCGTTACTGCCCAGTGGTAAGCAGTAGCCCAGGTGGCTCTTGATGCGGTAAATGCCTGGGCGGGATACAACAAGATGTCCAGCACCATCATATTCCACGTGCTGTAGGAAGCTGAGGGCGTGGTCTGCATTCCAGTCTCGGAGTGTGCGAGGACCACCTTCTGAAACACATGAGGTTTCTTGGCAAGTGTTAGTCATGAAAGGAAAGCTACTTCCTTTTCAAGAATAGTTGTTACTTTATTGTCTCAAATATTATTGCTTTGGCTTATTTCTTGGTGTAATTTGTGAGAGGTCAGACGATACCGAGTATAGTCAGAAAAGGATTATATCATATTATCACGGACTCCTGAGGAAATAAAAAGAGCGAATGCACACACATGGAAAAAGGTATGGCAACATCTATGGTTTTAATACTGGCATTTCAATGAAGGCAATTGCAAGAGAGCTGGTTGGCCACAAAACACTAGCAAACTAATGACGTTAAGGACCGTTAGCGTTGAGGGTGACCACGAGTGACAGCTCCTAGGGAGGATACAGCTCTTCTCAGAATCACAAGACATTGTCCGGTCAGGGAGTAGCTTCCGCATCGTCGTTTGTCTAAAATTACGGTCCAAAATAGCCTGCATATGCACAACGGAATATTTTGCAGTAGGTACCGTTTGGCGGGGGTCCATTGCTGGTGTGGGGATGCCTCTCTAGTTACTGTAAACCTGACCTTGTGAAGATTAGATAAAATAATGGACAACGGTACATCACTGACATCCCAGACAAGGTTGTTGTACCATACTTCGATGACCATCCTCTAAGCTCAAGGCCAGTCTTCATGGACGACAATGCTAGGCCACATCGTTCATTTACCGTTGGTGATTTCGTACGTGAAGGGGCGGAAGCAACTCTACGTTGACCCTACAGGAGTCCAGAACGCAATACCAGAGAGCAAGTTAGGGGAACGTAGTGTCGTAGAATACGCCAAGGGGATGCGAGAAGGGCCAGGGGTGTTATTGTGGAGGTTTCAGCAGATATTGACATTGTCCCCGGTCATTGATACTTGTGTGATTTCTTGAGGATTGTATGCCAGAATCTTAGAAATGGCCACACGTCATACTACCATAGCATTTGTGACCCACTCGTGTTATCCCGGGACAAGCTGAATACCGAGGTTACGGAAAGGGGCGAGTGTGACGAATGACTACCATAGTTATCAGCACTACAAAATGGGTCAATGTTTGCCAGGTTTGTTTCCACGAATAAACATGTTTTTCATTCTCTTTGCTTGTAGATTTGCAATTTGCAATTCAATTATTCCTTGAGGGTCTGTTCATCCGGATAGTAAGTCAATTAAAGTTTGGATAAGTTCCTTTGCTATTGTTAATGGTATCATATTGATACTACGCAAAATATGGGATGTTGAGGTCCGTTTTTCCATGTGTATGGTTTTAAGCGTCAAAACAATTTCCATAACATTAATAAAGCTCCATTGTACGATTCAGACTTTATCACGAGCGTGTGTTCATGCTGTCTAACATATGGAGATGACATCAGGTGTTTCCTCACTCGGCCCAAACACATGGACAGGCAAGTCATATGTGCCCCTGAATCGACGCAGTAACAGTAAATGGTGCTATTAGAAAAAGCAATCAAATTTCGAAACAACACAAACCCTTCTTCTCGTTCACCCGGAGCAGTCCAGACAAATGAGCCCCTATGAATGCATCAGGGGAAGGGGAGTCTTCTGAAAAAGAAGACAAGAATGATTTAGAACTGCCTAACAGTAGATATATGTTCAGCTAACCTTTTTGTCAGTTGACTCCCATCAGTAGATCCAAGAGCTTAAATGTGAGTGAGTGAGCGAGCTTTGGTTTTACGCCGCTTTTAACAATATTCCAGCAATATCACAGTGGGGGACGATCGAACACTTTAACCACTAGGCTAACCCCGCCCTTCATCATAATGTATTAAGCCTACCTATTGTACACGCCTCTGTCTGTTTCTGCACGCATGCCAGTCCTCCTTTCTCGGCCTTTGAAAAGAGAAACACAGTCATTATACAAGTGTTGATCCATCAGAAGACCCCCATGTGTGTATTTGCCATTTGAACAAACTGCTCAATATAAAATATTGACCTACCCGTACATAAAATATAGAACTACGAGCTGTAGTGTTCAACAATTGAACCCAAATCTATCTCTGCTTTGTACTGTACATACTATAGCAAAGTGCCATGGGTCGTGATCTGCTGGCACAGCGCCTTCAGCATGCACTACTGCGTGGATGTGTGCGCTATATTAATATCCAACAAACAAACAAAGAAATTCACTTTATAGACACTTGCTCCAAATAATAGTATTTATATTTAGGATCGTGCAACAATGCATTTACATAACGAGTTGGAAATTGGACTGGTATACATTTTTGCCTCGTCTTTACGCTATGCAATGGAAGCTAAAAGACATCATCGTGTCAATGATTTCAACGTAATAAGCATTTTGGACGTTGCATCATTGAAAAAATTTAAGTGCACATAAATTTGAGTGCACGTGTTGCAGGAAAGTTTTCATCGATGCATGTACATTGTGGTAAGGCTACTGTAAACCTGACCTTGTGAAGATTAGATAAAATAATGGACAACGGTACATCACTGACATCCCAGAGACGGTTGTTGTACCATACTTCGATGACCATCCTCTAAGCTCAAGGCCAGTCTTCATGGACGACAATGCTAGGCCACAACGTTCATTTACCGTTGGTGATTTCGTACGTGAAGGGGCGAAAGCAACTCTACGTTGACCCTACAGGAGTCCAGAACGCAATACCAGAGAGCATGTTAGGGGAACGTAGTGTCGTAGAATACGCCAAGGGGATGCGAGAAGGGCCAGGGGTGTTATTGTGGAGGTTTCAGCAGATATTGACATTGTCCTCGGTCATTGATACTTGTGTGATTTCTTGAGGTTTGTACGCCAAAATCTTGAAAATGACCGCATGTCATACTACCATAGTTATCAGCACTACAAAATGGGTCGATGTTTGCCAGGTTTGTGTCCACGAATAAACAGTTTTTCATTCTCTTTGCTTGTAGATTTGCAATTTGCAATTCAATTATTTCTTGAGGGTCTGTTCATCCGGATAGTAAGTCAATTAAAGTTTGGATAAGTTCCTTTGCTATTGTTAATGGTATCATATTGATACTACGCAAAATATGGGATGTTGAGGTCCGTTTTTCCATGTGTATGGTTTTAAGCGTCAAAACAATTTCCATAACATTAATAAAGCTCCATTGTACGATTCAGACTTTATCACGAGCGTATGTTCATGCTGTCTAACATATGGAGATGACATCCGGTGTTTCCTCACTCGGCCCAAACACATGGACAGGCAAGTCAAATGTGCCCCTGAATCGATGCAGTAACAGTAAATGGTGCTATGAGAAAAAGCAATCAAATTTCAAAACAACACAAACCCTTCTTCTCGTTCACCCGGAGCAGTCCAGACAAATGAGCCCCTATGAATGCATCAGGGGAAGGGGAGTCTTCTGAAATAGAAGACAAGAATGATTTAGAACTGCCTAACAGTAGATATATGTTCAGCTAACCTTTTTGTCAGTTGACTCCCATCAGTAGATCCAAGAGCTTAAATGTGAGTGAGTGAGCGAGCTTTGGTTTTACGCCGCTTTTAACAATATTCCAGCAATATCACAGTGGGGGACGATCGAACACTTTAACCACTAGGCTAACCCCGGCCCTTCATCATAATGTATTAAGCCTACCTATTGTACACGCCTCTGTCTGTTTCTGCACGCATGCCAGTCCTCCTTTCTCGGCCTTTGAAAAGAGAAACACAGTCATTATACAAGTGTTGATCCATCAGAAGACCCCCCTATGTGTGTATTTGCCATTTGAACAAACTGCTCAATATAAAATATTGACCTACCCGTACATAAAATATAGAACTACGAGCTGTAGTGTTCAACAATTGAACCCAAATCTATCTCTGCTTTGTACTGTACATACTATAGCAAAGTGCCATGGGTCGTGATCTGCTGGCACAGCGCCTTCAGCATGCACTACTGCGTGGATGTGTGCGCTATATTAATATCCAACAAACAAACAAAGAAATTCACTTTATAGACACTTGCTCCAAATAATAGTATTTATATTTAGGATCGTGCAACAATGCATTTACATAACGAGTTGGAAATTGGACTGGTATACATTTTTGCCTCGTCTTTACGCTATGCAATGGAAGCTAAAAGACATCATCGTGTCAATGATTTCAACGTAATAAGCATTTTGGACGTTGCATCATTGAAAAATTTAAGTGCACATAAATTTGAGTGCACGTGTTGCAGGGAAAAGTTTTCATCGATGCATGTACATTGTGGTAAGGCTGTTAGCGCAGTATGTCTCGGATGACCCCACAAGGAACGTAATACCCTCGTCAATATACCTATTGATATGCGTGTTTGTCAATGTTGTGACAACAGGTTCCAGGTAACCTTTCATGATCCTCTTATGATAGGGCTATTGGTTATTGCACAGTACTTGGATAAGCGACAACTTGCAGCGGTAGTTGAAGCATGGATAGGCGAGGGTGGAATATAACCGGGGACAAGTGAAGGATGGGATTTACTTACCAATACACCTTGTAAGTAATTAGTATAATTTAGACCATATGTATGTATGTATGTATGTATGTATGTATGTAGGTATGTAGGTATGTATGTATGTATGTTTGGAAAAAAAGTCCTCGGAAAAAAAGTACAGGTAAAAAAGTACTAAATTTGCCTAGGAAAAAAAGTCCTACTTTTATTTTTTTATAACAAATGTTCAGAAAAAAACTTAGATATTCGGGTTTTTAATACTTTATTCACATGCAACAATGTAAATTGACAAAAATACATTTGCAGGACGTTTTAATGTTTTTACTTTATTCACATGGCACTTTCACATACAACAATGTAAATTGATAAAAATTTGCATCTGCAGTGATACATTTGCAGGACTTTTAAATTTTTTAATACTTTTTTCACATAGGCACTTCATATTGCACTGAAACTTGACAATTTGCAAAAATTTGCAAAAATCACATTTTATTTGACAAACAGAACTCAAACAGTACTCCACAAGCCAGTTTGTTTAAGACAATTTTGTGAACACTAATTATTCTTTGATTCAAGCAGCTAAAACCACATTGGGCATCCTGGATTTGAATGCCCAGTTAAAATATCATTGTTCTTGGTTATGTAATTCTTGTCTTTAATACATAATCACTTATCTCAACAATAACTTTGCTGTCAACATCCATTTAATCTGTTTTCACAATAATAGGACTTTTTTTCCTGAGGACTTTTTTCCGGTACTTTATTACCGAGGAAAAAAAGTATGTATGTATGTATGTATGTATGTGTGTATGTATGTAGGTATGTAGGTATGTAGGTAGGTATGTAGGTAGGTAGGTAGGTAGGTAGGTAGGTAGGTAGGTACGCACGCATGCATGCAGTGTTTAAAACTCCCATAATTCCAAGCTAGACAGCCGGACTGGTAACTTTAAAAAATTACCAGTCCGGATAGACACTTGCCTGTCCGGTTTTCAACAATAAAAAAACAAACAAAATCAGGTTAGTCAGGCTACTGTTTGTAGGCATCGCAATGAACTACATAGCACTAACAGGCAATGCACCGAGTTTAGGTGAACTGAAAGTACACGTGTTGTGATTGGTTATCGTAACATGAACTGTCCAGTCGTAAGTAGTTTAACATAATCATCATAATACCGTAAACACCTCAAACTGAGATCCTGTCAGATATTATTATATTTTTACTGTTAGGGGTAAAAATATCTACCAGATCAAATCGTAGCCTCCACAGTACTGATTTTGTTTGACACTATTTTCAGTTAGTATGATGTTTTGGGCTCATGAAAAGGCCTGTAATACTCTCAGATTGTCGTATCAGGGTTTTTTACAGGCCATTATATGTGGTGGGGGTCTGCGAGCATTTTCGTCACATTTGGTTTGCTGCCCGACAACACCTCAAAGTTAATCATTAATAGTTTTACTACTATCAATCTGATCACTTTCAGTTTGACTTCTGTGTACTGCTAAAGGATGTAGAAATTATTTGACATCATTTTGTTTTGAAAAAAAAATCAAAATGGCCGCCAGTTTGGCCGCCATTTTGTTTTGTCGTGTTTTGCCTTCTCAGCACTTAAATTTACATAAAAATGAACACTGAATGTTTCCATTTACATCCAAAGTTGATATGTTTGATGTGTTTTGACACTTGTTTCTCCTAGAGTGATGGCTTGGGCACAAAACAAGTCATTTTGTATGGTCATAGCATGGTAATTTAATGTTTTACAGCTTATTCTTTGAGACAGGGGTATTTTTGGGGTTGTGCATATTAAGAACGAGATAGGTTTAGTTCAGAAGGGATATAAAGTGACTATGGACGGGATTGGACTGCTTGAAAACGTTGTCCACACGGGGTAAACGGGCAATTTTACCCGCTCTAAACGTAACACCAACTGTCTGGGGACGGGGTAAAGACGAGACAGACGTACTGAGAACGGTTTATGATCAAACTAGCATTGTAATTTATACAAAAGTTACACGTTCTATCCCGTTCAGTCAGTCGAATGAAAAACAAACTGACAGTTATTTGAACCAAATTGAAAACCTGTATTTATGTAAAAGTGTTCGATCCGCCACCCGGTGTCGTCACTATTTCATAGTAATACACGTCCATGACATAGAAGAAATAAGCATTCTTATGATTATGGAAATTAATGTTTTTTTATCTCCTTTACTTTCATGACATAACATTCTAAATATATTGTTCGACGAGAGCATACATTTACCCATGTTAAAATTAGTTAAAATTCTCAGCGCCATATTGTCAGTCAATATGGCGACAATGACAAGCTTATACCTTCAAGGGCGTCTTGCGTAAAAGTGAACGATCTCGTTGTATGAACTATTTTATGGCGGGGACCATTGTTCGTCGACTTCAGGATATATGAATGACATATAAATACATTGTAATCAGTGCAGTCGGGGGGGTGGGGGGTGGGGGGTGTATAACAGCATTATGTCTCATCATGTCATTCAGTTACATCGAAACAATTGCAGATAGCCACTCGTGTGCATGTAGCAACACTGTATGTAACGGTTGACACCATTTCGGCGTTACCCTAAAGATTTGGAAGATAATTTTCGCATTAAATGTTACTTTTTGAGATTAGATAACACTTACTACTGTGTGCATTATCAGCAGAATGAAATGGAGGTAACGGGCGTTCATCTTGCTTCACAAAATGGCGACACTCGATCATTTCCCAAAATGCATTTTTCATTTACAACTTCACCCTGAAATGACTCTCAATTTTAATCCACACGAGAAATGATATGCTTTTAATTTAATTAAAATAGAAATTTGACACAATGTTTCTTTATTTTGGTTCGTGGGTGCCCTGTCCCGTTGGTGCGAGATTAGGAAGACTGACGTCACATAATTACAAATGTGTATATGTACACCATATAATGCTCGCAAGCCACTTTCAAGACCTTGGCATCACATATTGCATAATATTACCGGATGAAACTCAGAAAAGTAGAATATACAAGATAAACATATACAAAGACATGATTTGGGTCATGTTATAGCAGACACATAATGTCCTGATTTAGATTGTGGTCATAAATATCGTCAGTTTCTGTCAGTCATTCTCTTAGAGTAGGAACACTCGTGTGATACAATATGTAAATGAATAGTAGAAAGGCAAAGGCACGTGTGTATCAATGATGCTGCAGAATGTATTTTAACGTTGGTTACATGTCTTATGTTGAATGTTGGGGGGCACTGAAAGTCTGCTGATTTTAGATATTATACCGATATATCTGTGGAGTTGATAGACATGTCACCTTGTATACTGGTGTAGAGTGAGTGAGTGAGTTAATATTGATCGTCACATCGGCAATATTTCAGCCATATCGTGACGAGAACATTTTATAATTATATTAAAGGTGAATAAAGTTAGAAATTAAAAAACCTGTTGACGAAGAACAGTAAAACTACTAGTGTATCACATATATCCATTTAAAACTAGCAATTAAATCTAAAATATTGGAACTATAAATGACAATACAATATAAAAACAGGCTGTTGATTACTAACGACTGAAGGTAGATCACCATACTAGGGAACATGGGGACTTACAGTACATTTGGTTCCTGCATGGACCCCAGCTGGATTTACACCATCCCTTCAGCTGTCAGCAAGTTTAGACAATTTAGCCATTAGTTAGAATAACACATATTCTACGCTTAAAAATAATGGTATGTTTAAATTTACAATAATTTTACAATGCTTCAACCCCCTGTGAGGATACAGCCACTAACAATCTCAGCTGCTCAACTAAACTACCAATTTTAAAATATTTATCCATTTACAATTCATTCAACAAATCGAATTCTTTTAAAAATGTAATAACTAAATGAGAACTGATATTAGTAAAAAGATCCTTCATCGTTCGTGATTTGAAATAGTTATCCCTTGTGATGGAATATTCAATACAGTCAAGCTTGATCGTGATTCTTTCATCACAAGGTATGCAAAACGGAGGATCCTCACCTTTTAACAGGTATTCATGAGTATATCTAGTATGACCAATACGACATCGTCGTATGATGACCTCTTCAAATCTGGACTGACAACCCAAGTAGGTATAACCAACATAAGGTTTTATTGCATGTAATTTATTAAGTCCCACTCAAGTGTCCCACGTCTTCTGCATCAGATCGTGGATATAACATCTGATGACTGCTTTATAATCAGAGTATGGAATAAGAAGTGGTGTCACAGATTTGTTGAGTGCTGCCTTGGCAGCAAGATCGGCCATTGTATTCCAAGAAATGCCAACATGGCTGGGTAACCAACAAAAGACGATGTCGTATTGGCCAGTAGCAAGCTCATTAGATAATTCAATAATTTCTATTAAAAGTGGATGTTTACAAGAAAGATTTTTTATAGCCTGAAGGCAAGAAAGAGAGTCAGTAAAGATTATATATTGTTTATGTTTAGGGTGTCTTTGAATATATTTAAGAGCTGTGAATATGGCGTTTGCTTCGGCTGTAAAAATAGAGCTGTTATCCGGTATTCTAGAAGATATTGTTTTGGATCCAATGACAGTGGCACAAGCCACCGCGCCACCATCCTTGGACCCATCTGTACATAAGGCTCTATATGCATTACATTTACTTTTTAGTAGATTATATTCTTGTTTATATTGTAATTCATTAGTTTCGGATTTTTTAAACGTTGTCAGTGTTAGGTCAACTTGTGGCCTCACTAATTGCCAAGGAGGAGAAGAAAGAAGACGGTAAGGGGATATATTTTCTAGCTCAATGCCAGCAGCGGAAAGGAAAGGTTTGACTCTTAGTCCTAGAGGTGGAACAAGAGAAGACTTTTTATTGTACAGATCCTCATAAAGAGGATTGAAAACACAGTCAAATGCAGGATTAGACTCATTAGAATAGAGTTTTGTTATATACTGTAAGGATAATTTTATACGACGTTGGTTAAGTGATGGCTCATCTGCCTCAACATAGAGACTGTCAACAGGGGAAGTTCTAAAAGACCCAAGACAAAGTCTTTGTCCTTGGTGGTGAATAGAATCTAATAGTTTTAGGTTGCTGTTGCAGGCTCCACCATATACGATGGAGCCATAATCAAGTTTGGAGCGGACTAGTGATCTATATAATTGTAGGAGGGTAGTTGTATACTGGTGTAGATGATATTCTGTTTGGCTGTTTTTGTCGGAAATTGTATTAGAGTGTTTTACTAGATTTTTATGGTAACTGTGATGAAATGATGATAGTTGCGGGGATCAAAGAAGACTACCATTGAAAAGGTAAAGTTAAAGCGCAAGATCTGTTGTGTACTCGAGGGATTGAGGGTTCAAAATTACGTAGGCTATACCATGGTGATAATTTATTGTAGCTAGGCACTTAACAACTTTGTAAAACCACATTTATAACGATGGCATCCTGCAACACTCTCGTTTTCTCACGCAGCATTTAAGTTTGTTTATAACGCTGCACTAAGCTATGTTCAAACTGTATAACGGCGGCCTGTAAATAACACAAGTACGATCCATGAAGTCAGAGTATAAGGACATTATATTAACCAGTTCAATGATCCTAACCACCCGCCCCACTTGGTCGGGATGGGTGTGTAACTACACCAGTGGGTAATAGAAAGAAGACCAAGACTGAGAATGGACAGATGAGTCTTTTAAGTTTCAAACTGCTCTCTTGTCAAACGTTAGACCACATATCTTTAATTGTAGACAATTTTAAGGCTCGGACAAGTTTGATTCAAGCTAATCACCGATTTGTGTGCCTGTAGTTTCATGTCATCCTGTTACTGTTTTTGGTTTCACAATGTGTCTCACAAGGCACAAACTGATAATATTTGCAACGCCTGGAAGAACGGGGAAATAGGGTCCATGAAGCAGATTTCTGCATTAAGAGAAACTATTGCTTGTATTAATTTAGTAATGTTATGCTACCGCTTCTTCAAGGGTGGTTCTGTTTATCCTGTTGTCCTCTATGAGGACATTGTATAGAGCACATTATGAGTTTGGTTTTACGCCGCTTTTAGCAATATCACGGCGGTGGGACACCAGAAATGGGTTTCACACATCGTACCCTAGTCTGTCGTACAGACCCTGAAGTAAATATATCCAAGAAAGCCCACGCAAGTCTAGAAAATGTGGCAAGTCTAGATTTCCTCAGCCATAGAATATCAAGAGATGCTACCCTCAGCTGGTATCCCTTGCTTGCTCTCAAAATAGATTTGGTGACAATTGATACTCATTACCCCAAATCGGCCCACACCACTGGCAGTGGGACGGGGAGACGGTAGGGGCAGTAAATATTCCTGTCACACACAAATAAAGCAGTAATGGGTGATAAGAACCTTTGTACGTGTTGTGAAATTCCAAGAAATTATCCCTCTGCAGATTTGTTTAGTCTGTGAAAATGAAGAAAGTCTCAGGGCTCCTTTTCATTATATATCTTTTTTTTACTATGAACTTTTTTTCAGTAAAATATGTTCATTTCAGAGACTAGTTAATAGCCTAATCGTACCCATGTTGGGAATCAAACCCGGGTCTTCGGCGTGACGAGCGAACACTTCAACCACTAGGCTACCCACCGCCCGTGGAATAAGAATGGTCTATTCCTGGCACAAGGAGAACTCATGATCATGTATGGAAAATATGGATGGCAATACTCGTGACGCTGCCTCACACAGCAATATCGCTATTAACAACAAAACACCTTCTAAATGATTTAGCAATTTATTATTGTTATCTTCACCTCTCTGACATGTGCTCTTGGAACGTATACTGATGCTTGTATGCTATATACAACCGATGAACACAGTATATACCAAACACTGGAAGAAGCAATATCACCTGCTGCAAACATATAAGTACAGGTAATGCATGTTGCAATGGCAAGGCTTTGAGCAGTGTACCTCAAATGACAAGATTAACACTTTGATTCTCTAGAATAACTCCAACACATTCTTATGTTCATGGTGCGGTCAGTTATATATCAGGTTGAACAAGGCCATTTTTTCGGTCATTGGTACTGACTGGGATATGGTAATATGTACAAACTGAGGATCTGATACACACAGGACTATTCTGCAAATGGATATATTGTAGGTTAAACTATGCTTCACAAACCTATACAGGGATGCTTCATGTGCCTTCGGTAATGGACCTGCAGATTATAGGAAGGTATCTTGTGTCTTCATTGACTGCTAGTCAACAACAAAGCAAATTCCTCTCTGGATGATCCTGCTTTATTATTTCTTAAGTGTCAATTGGTTTGTTTCTCTTTTAAAGCCATCAAAAATATATTTTACATGAGAAGTATCTGGTAAAAGGGAAGTCCAGTTTTAACTTGAAAAACACCAACAGAGAGAATTGACATAATGTTTGTCATGGACAGGGGTCAAATTTCAAAACACTATGTAAAATAGCTTTGCTAAGGGCTTGAATGTTGTAATCACCACTGCAGTTATTTCCCTTGTCTAACATCACAATACTGGCACATGACAACTGATATAAATACATTGTCTGAATGTATCAAAGTACCATTGGACTACAATGTAACTTCTCTTCCTGCCATTGTTTCTTTCACACTGGGTAATCCAGAGAATTACATTGTATTCAGATAAATTGCAGACCCATTCCCTACAATAGCTTCATATTGTAACATCACCACCTCCTTGGAATGGATATACATAACACCTGAAACAGATCCTGGAATCTCTATGATGCAAATCTCAGGAATGACACAGAGTTTTGGACAGTATGCTATGTTCAGGCTGAAGCAGAGCATATATTCATGAAACACAACTTTACAAAAATATAAATCTGATGATAGTTGCTGTACATAATGGCGACTTGATGCAATTTCTTGATCAATTCAATTCACAATGAACAATATTTTGCATAAAATCAATATAATGGATAGCACACATAATTCCAGATATATAATGAACAATTTAAACCAAATTGTGTACTAACAAGGTAAACAGCAGCCTCCACAGCAAGCTCAGGGGAGTTACACATCCAATTGGCCTGCTGGTGGTACAGCTGGGACACATGCAGCTGCGTCTTCACAGAAACATTACAGGTCAGTGACTGGGAATCACCAGTCTTGATTATCCCTCTTCAGTGATGACAACAGACAGAAAGCCAAAAGCACCCAAAACTCACACAATTAGGAATTTATTGGAGCTCATTTTGTTAATTAATATCTGAGATTCAAAGAGCGTTCCAAGCATATATTAAACTTGCAGCATGATAATGAAGTATTGGCTACTAAATAATGACATTGGACAATGAGTGTGGTATTTACCACAAACAAAACATTTGTGGTACCTGTTCTAGAGGTTGTACATAAAGCTAAATCACAATGTTGGTTTGCAAGAAAAGGCTCATTGAGTAAATACATTGGTATTTTTCCCACTCAGACATCAACAGAATAACTCTCATACAACAAATCTTGAAGCAACAAAAAGAAGTTTTGGTGTTTGTACATGGCTTCATCATTAAGGATGAACCTGACCATGCTGATGCTTGTTAGCATGGACAGAAAAATAGAATCCATTCACCAGTACCAACACTTCACAAGTCTTAACAAGAGAACAACTCTCAGCTGTTTGCTAGCCTTTGCTCCCAGCAACTGCTACACTAGGAACATGAACCACTTTCCACACAAACAAAAATACACAGAAAGTAACTGCCAAACAGGCTAACACATTACATCGGACTATCCGTGGAATGGTATAAAACATTTATTCATGTGGTAATCATCTGCAGCAGCAAACAAACAACACAATTTTCCAGTCAAAAATGACCAGCTCCAAAAGGGATTGTTCAAACCAGAATGTGTGGCAAAATATGACTTGAATATAATGATGAGTATTATTGGTGGTTTCATATGACAAGAATACAGTAGCCATTTAGAGATCTTTTGATCCTCGTAAATATTGATTCTGCATATAAATAATCAAAAGAAATGTTATTGTCCCACATAAGTCTTTAGGGGAAATGTCATGTTGCTAGTAATAATTTGTTGATCTGAAAATAACATTCACAGCACCTACACAACTTGGTTTCAAATGGTCACATGAACATTCAATTCATTTTCTTAATAAAATGCAACATGCCCCCTCCAACATGAGTTGTCCTCCTCGTTTTGTTCAATTACACGTCTTCATCAGCAACTTTCTGCACTTCATATTTCCGATTTCCTGTTGTTGTTACAGTAATAATGGGATTTGTATTTGGGTTCTTTGTTTTGGGTGAAGGAGTGTCATCACCACGATTCAGCGGCTCAAATCGTGTTGGTAGCCGTGGTGATGAGGGCCTTACTGTAGGTCTGTACAACTTGGTGGGGTCGGTTACTGGTGTGACCAGAGAGGATTTGAGTATAGGTGTAATGACTGGTTTGTCTAGGACGACGCCGGCAGACTGAGGTTCTGCTGCTGGAGTACAGAGGGAGCCTCGTCTTCCGTCAGCCATTTTGTCTGAAGAACGCATGGGTCCGCTGTAGCTGTGAGCACGTGGTCGCCACTTTTGTATGTTGGGAATCGCTACCATAGAACTGGGCTGAATCACATATCTGGGCAAGGGAGAAAATGAAAGATGTATATTGTTTTGATATCACAGAATTACAGATGAGGTGAGGAGAAATTGGTTGGGATGTCACATTCAAGATATTTGTATTTTGATGATCGATATTTACAGACCACTGTCATATAGTCCAGTGCAGTGTGCAGAAGTTAAACAACAAACAAAACAAACATGCACATGCATGTGTCATCTTGTACTAGTCGAGGGGTTAGCGATGGTGTAAGAGGTCATACTCACACTATATCCCCTACTTTAGGCAGCGTTTCGGGGGTGTTAAGATGGTGTAAGAGGTCACTCACACTATATCCCCTACTTTAGGCAGTGTTTGCGATGGTGTAAGGGTTAGCGATGGTGTAAGAGGTCATACTCACACTATATCCCCTACTTTAGGCAGTGTTTCGGGGAGGGGTTAGCGATGGTGTAAGAGGTCATACTCACACTATATCCCCTACTTTAGGCAGCGTTTCGGGGAGGGGTTAGCGATGGTGTAAGAGGTCATACTCACACTATATCCCCTACTTTAGGCAGCGTTTCGGGGAGGGGTTAGCGATGGTGTAAGAGGTCATACTCACACTATATCCCCTACTTTGAGGCAGCGTTTCAGGGAAGGGTTAGCGATGGTGTAAGAGGTCATACTCACACTATATCCCCTACTTTAGGCAGCGTTTCGGGGAGGGGTTAGCGATGGTGTAAGAGGTCATACTCACACTATATCCCCTACTTTAGGCAGCGTTTCGGGGAGGGGTTAGCGATGGTGTAAGAGGTCATACTCACACTATATCCCCTACTTTAGGCAGCGTTTTCGGGGAGGGTTAGCGATGGTGTAAGAGGTCATACTCACACTATATCCCCTACTTTAGGCAGTGTTTCGGGGAGGGGTTAGCGATGGTGTAAGAGGTCATACTCACACTATATCCCCTACTTTAGGCAGCGTTTCGGGAGGGGTTAGCGATGGTGTAAGAGGTCATACTCACACTATATCCCCTACTTTGAGGCGGCGTTTCGGGGAGGGGTTAGCGATCGTGTAGGAGATCATGGAATTGGATCTGACGCTTCTCTCACAGTAGTCATCCTGAGAGAGGTCGAGACTCTTCAACCGATTCCTGATGACATCGGCAAGGTTCAGGTGGTCGGAGTGTTGGAATCCAACAAACGGATTCTTGTGACTAGAATGACTCAACTTTCTGGTACAGCTGTTTGAGCTTGTCTGGAAGACAGAGAGATTTTCAGGATTAAACATAGTATTCATGAGAAGGAGAGTAATTGAAAGTCACTTCCTGATTGTGTTATGCTTTCTTACTATTCCCTGTTGAGGTACTAAACAGTTACAGTTGTATGTGACCCCTTTTCCACAGAATGAGAAAGTTTCGCAAACATAATACAACAGTCAACATATCCAGCACAACACTGTAAAATATTAACTGCAATCTTTTATTAGATGTCCAAACATGTGTCTAGCTGAATCTGTGTAGTGAAGGATAAATACCGAGGAGGTTTGGATCCAACTTATGAACCGACCGAAGATATACTTTAGATTTAATTCTAATATTTGGTGTTTACTGTTGAAATCAACTGGGATGTGACTGATGCAACTGACACCTTGCCGTGCACCCGCGCAATACATGTGCTCTTCACGTGCTACCCATGTCCTGCACATGCACTGCACGCACTACCCGTCTTGTGAGGAACACATGGTTCATGTTGACAAAAAAATCACATCATTGACAGCGATCATTGTAATCTAGTGGATAAAACCACAAATCTAGCAAGGGAAGGGTTGCAGGTTCAAAACCAGGCATTGGCATGATATAATGGCAGATTTCAATAATGTGATATTTTACAATTGTACAAGTAAAATGATTCAGTCAAGGGCTATTCTTGAAAGTCTTCAGGAAATCCCCAGGCAACTCTGATGAAATCCCCGGGACCAGGGCAATTCTGTAGAAAATCCCTGGTATTTCTTGGAGAATGTCTGCAAAACTGCCTGTAGAGGTTTACTCAGTAAAAGGAGAAGCTGGCGAGACAACAGAGTGATGTCACTGAAGGTTTATAAACTTACATCCGACATGTCATCCCTTGTTTTCTGTCTCTCTGTTCTATAAATAGCAATGGGGATTTCCCCCGTGGCAGTACACAAGCCTTGGTATAATTCTCCATATGTAGGAAACCTTGCTACAGTGGTGTGCCGAACCCGGATCTGAAATGATCAGTTATCAAACAAAACATTAGAAAAAGCTTTCATGGATATACTTCCATTACAACTGGCCTTGTAACTACAATGCTTTCATAATAACATGATTGATAATTGTAAAGGTGTTGTATCATCTGATATTGAACAAACATAAAGGACTAGCATTCCTGGGGACCTAAATCAATAAACTACATGTCATTGAGTGAGTGGTTTCACATGGCTGTAAGCAATATTCCAGAAATATCATGGTATAAAGACCGGTTGTATTCTCCACATGGAGTGTTCTGTACTCGTTGACCAGGGGTAATATGTCAGCGCTTTGAGCATGCAATGTGCATGGATAAACGCGCAATATAAATGGACTATTATTATTATTATTATTACTTGCACCACACTCAAAAATGTTTATTCTGTAACTTACAATTCAGAAATCATGCTATAGCATGTATGGAGAATGGGAGAAACATGATGCTACTAGAAAATATTTGAATTTGAAACTCACACTGGAGAGATGTCCTGAATTCTCCTCTGCATCAATGCCCAGCAACAGTCTCACAAATGTAATCAGGTAGCCTTTCACAAACGTCTGAAAAAGGGATGAGACATGAGATATTTCTAAAACTGATCTACAGTTTCCTTCATAACATCGTCAAGAAGACATATATTTCACTTATCAAACAAATTACACTTTGTCATATTTTGTCATGTAGTCATGACACTTCAGGCTCAAATGGAGACAACTGACAGCTGAAGGGGAAGAAGGCAGGTTTGATATGTTAGTCAGTGGTTTTAGAAAACTTAAACTGAACTTAATTTAATTTTTTTCCAAAATCCTCTAAAAGGGATTCATTTTGACCTGTGTATATGCTGATATTTGTCTCCAAGTCAGTAGGAGTGAGTGAGTAAGTGAGTGAGTGAGTGAGTGAGTGAGGAGTGAGTGTGTGAGTGAGTGAGTGAGTGTGTGTGTAGGAATTGAACAAGGGTCAAACACTGTAATCACTAGGCCAGGTCAGACCCCCAGGTCAGTAGGAAATGTCCGTTATAAACTGGAATGAAATGCTAAATATTCATGCTTTTAGAGATATAACCAATGATAAGGCTTTGTGTTGGTGACTTGTATTCACTGACAATCAGACCAATAAAGAGGCAGGGGCCATGACTTTCGTTTAACATCATTTTATTGAATAAAATTCATTGTCAATGTTGCAACGCCTCTGAACATATAGCTAAATAAGAATTTTAAAAATAATCACAATCTGGAATATAACATTGTTTTTTCCCAATTTTCTGCAAGGGCATGTATTTTGGAATCCTTCGACAAATCCCTGTCTAACCTGAGAAAGTGAGAAAAAGAATGTTGTCTTAACAGTCCACCATAACACAGTGGCCTGGAAATAAGCCTTGACCAGGCAAACCAGCAGTGTTCAGTCTAGGCAGAACCCTTGCACCATTCATGCAGTATTATTTAACGTGTGGCACTGTAGGGTACAGGTGGGTCGTGACGGCGGATCCATAAATGTATATCTGAAATGCAACTTAAGTACGTCTTTGATTTCTCTTGTTGACTTCACCTGGATTGCAAGTTTGAAAAAGGAAGTGAACTCATACTAGTAACTGGTAGCGAATGGCTAAAAAGTTTGACATTTGACATGACCCACAATATCTTCTAAATGACCCACATAACTGAGGGCTGGTGGGCCATGGGCTCACTTTTTAGAAATGCTTGAATGAACACTGAAACCAGTAACAGCAGAGATCCTTGCCCTTAAGACACGATGACAGGGAATCTGCCAAATGACCTCCATAGTAATCAGTTCTAAATACAAGTGGGACTAATTCTACCCCCGGAGTGCCTTGTAGGAGCTGGACGATACCTGGTACAGGAGAGTGTCCAACATGCTGGCACTGAACACCTGCCCAGCAGCAAAGGGCAGTCGGAAGATGTGGCTCATGTTTGACCCCATCGTCTGCTTCAGTTTCTAGAATAACAAGAACAGCTGTGGTCATATTCCAGCATTCTCAAACATATCAATCAAACAGCATAAACATCAGCTGCATCACTCTGGTCCATTTTCTTCAGTTGATCACAAAGAAGTTGGAGCAATGTGTTTAAATCCAGTTGAAGCAATACAAAAAACCTCAACAAACTTCAACCAGTAATTGCCAATCATATGTTTATGTAAATATGTTTGGTGTCTCTCTAATGTGTCAGTAGCTCTGCTGATGTAACACAATTCCTGAAAAGGCACTAAAGTATTATTCTTTTCTATTATTCTATTCTATTCTATTCTAAACAGTCATGCTTGTCTTCTGTAACACCTTTGACTTTTGAAATATAAGCAAGATAATTTACATCTTCCCTACATCCAGTTGAATATGTACCACACCACCTACCTGTTCAAGACGTGAGACCCTCTGGGAGTATATGTCATGGGCACGGAACTGCATGAACCTCATATTATTGGCTTGATTAAGCTCAGTAATAATGTTGGCATTTGGAAATAGCCTAAAAAGGGGAGGAAAGCACATATTATCATCACAACTATAATATAATCAGCCTATAAACATACTGTGTTTTACATAAGAGCTTGGTAAATGGTTCTGTGTAGTTTCAACCAAATAAACTGAACTTAGAATTGATAGTTTTCTACAATCACATTGCTATAACAGCAGGTGTTTCAAAACAAAGGTGGCTATTGTAATTTGAAGATCATAATGACAAATCAGAAACTAGAAATTCCCAAATTCATGACAGAATTTTCATTAACAGCATTAACTATTTTGGGAATACAAGGTCCAAGGTCTCCATACCTGAATATGGTCTGCACAGCCACAATAGTCTGTGCATCACACAGAGTTTCCTCCCCTTCCTTCTGGTTGGGAGTTCTGTTCACCACCACCAGGTGGCTAGCTTTGTTGATACCAGCTTGCAGCAAGTCATCAACACTGAAACATTTGCAAAAGGCAAGTGTAAACATGGGAAATCAGTAACCAAGAACCTTTTGCACATACAGTCAAATCCCGATGAGTCGAATATTATGCATAACTCGAAGTACCTGTCGGTCCCAACCATTCCCTGTTATAGTTGTCATCATTTGAATACCGGTTATACGAATTCGTCTCATAAATACACACGATAACTTGAGAAGGAAATTTGGTTGCATGAGATTCAAACAACAGCAATCTTGTATACATAAGCCGAAGTCAGTCAATGAGAAGTTGATTGGTGTAGCAAACTGATCCAATTAACGGGTGAGTTCAAAAGGCAGATAAGTGATTTTACAGAAATCACTGTCTGTGCTAATCAGACTGGAACTGATAAGGTGTCCCTATTAGTGATATGGAAATCATTAGATAAACAAATGCTTAGGAGGAGGAATTAGGACTGAATCATCTTTTTTCTACCCTCATAGACATACCTATGTCTCGAATACATCGATAAGTCGAATATATTACTTGGTCCCCAGCGATTCGACTCATCGGGATTTGACTGTATATCTTTGACTCTTTTCAAACACATGACACAGTGACTTGTTTGCATGAAAATGACAAAATCATAAGTTTCAGAATGTTGTAATGAGTGTTGAGTATAAGTTGTGCACTTGTTTGAAATTTGCGAAAAGACTTGTTAGAAAAATGTACAATATTTGATCTGACCTGATTACATCAGGGTAAACCGTACAACTATACACACCTTGTAATTCGTCCTTTCATCCAGTACACAAGTGGGAATTTTGATATTGTCTCAAGAAATATTTTGCTGGGTCTGAAACAAACATCATCACATACATTATACTTAAATCAGAATGAATTTGAGTGGTTGAGTTGAGTTTAATGCCGCTTTAAACATTACTTCAGTTATGGTACTGTGTCTCAGCTTGATGGAGGTGGAAAGCTTGAAGTGATGAAAGTTTTGGACATTTACCACTCTAGAGAACCAGATTTAGAGCTATTGATTTTCATGCATCAATGGCTTCATAGAGAACACATATACCTAATTCTGTTCCAGTTGATGTATGTTTTAATGGCTGAGTAATGGCTACAAATAGGATATCCAATATAGGTGGTCAATTTGAAAATCAAATTTGAACAAAACAAGGCGACCTCATTGGTGTTAGTGTTCAAATTCTATGATCCAGTTGTTTTAGAGAACATGTTAACTGCCATAACATAAGCTCAATTGATTTTCAGTCAAGTGAGCTAAAAAGTACAATAAAAATTAGAAAAAGCATTGACTGTGAAATAGAATGGACTGGCATTTCTTTACATCTAAGGTATGTTGTAGTTCACAGATTGAGGGCAATCTACTTACTCTTCTTCCACCAGGAGGATGATGGGGCTGAGGCCGTTCATGCTGATGAAGTTTGAGCGTAGTGGGACAATGAAGTGATAGATGCCGCTACTGGCCTGCTCTGCAGCCAGGATGATCAGCTGGTTGTGCCAGCGGTCATCATTGGCTGTCTTGTAGCTACAGTGCTCACATGCCTGAAACATCACAGAGGTGGAAATATTGATGAATGAATGTATGAGTTTGAATTTTAAGTCACATCAGCAGTGTGCAGTATTTGATCTTAACATTGCAATGCTGTAGGCCCCAAGGACCCAGAACATATAAAAGTTGTGGGTTCTGGGCCCCGTTCCTCAATGCGATCATAGCACAACGACTGTTGTAAGTCTATGTTAAAGTATGGGAGTTACGATCATCTTAGCACTACAACTGTCATAAGTCTATGTTAAAGTATGGGAGTTACGATCATCTTAGCACTACAACTGTCATAAGTCTATGTTAAAGTATGGGAGTTACGATCATCTTAGCACTACAACTGTCATAAGTCTATGTTAAAGTATGGGAGTTACGATCATCTTAGCACTCGACTGTCATAAGTCTATGTTAAAGTATGGGAGTTACGATCATCTTAGCACTACTGTCATAAGTCTATGTTAAAGTATGGGAGTTACGATCATCTTAGCACTACAACTGTCATAAGTCTATGTTAAAGTATGGGAGTTACGATCATCTTAGCACTACAACTGTCATAAGTCTATGTTAAAGTATGGGAGTTACGATCACCATAGCACTAACAACTGTCATAAGTCTATGTTAAAGTATGGGAGTTACGATCATCTAGCACTACAACTGTCATAAGTCTATGTTAAAGTATGGGAGTTCGATCATCTTAGCACTACAACTGTCATAAGTCTATGTTAAAGCACGGAGTTACGATCATCTTAGCACTACAACTGTCATAAGTCTATGTTAAAGTATGGGAGTTACGATCATCTTAGCACTACAACTGTCATAAGTCTATGTTAAAGTATGGGAGTTACGATCATCTTAGCACTACGCACAACAACTGTCATAAGTCTATGTTAAAGTATGGGAGTTACGATCATCTTAGCACTACGACTGTCATAAGTCTATGTTAAAGTATGGGAGTTACGATCATCTTAGCACTACAACTGTCATAAGTCTATGTTAAAGTATGGGAGTTACGATCACCTTAGCGCTACGACTGTCGTAAGTCTATGTTAAAGTATGGGAGTTACGATCATCATAGCACTACAACTGTCATAAGTCTATGTTAAAGTATGGGAGTTATGATCATCTCAGCGCTATGATCCCTTTGTGGAACGGGGCCCTGATCAGAATGTGTAGGCCCTATATTCTAGCTACAATATAACTAATTCTCAGCAAACAAAAATGCGACAACTAACAAACTGAGTTAAAGACTTTAACGATCATATCTCAATAATCTAAACTGCTTCCTCAAAAATGATAGTAGTTTCACTTAAAGACAACAACTGCTGATCAAGATAAAAACTGGAAATTACTGAATGATATTTTCTGAAAAATAATACACTTAGTTATTGGGGATGAAACAGCTGTTGGCCATGAGGACCTGCAGAAAACAAAAGCTGTGGGTCCGAGTGGTTGCAGTCGGCTTCGGGCCCAAGGACAGACGTTAATTTCGAACACTGGCAGTATTTGTTTCAGCTATAATGTGACAATAAAACAACTTTTTGTTCATTGCTTAACACTACACTCTGGTAAAATAACTAGACTCATCAAAGATATATATGTGAAACTAGTGTTTCATCATAAAAGGATATCGCTGCACAAGGAATAATAAACATGTGCTATATATCACCAAGTGAAGGACACGTGTGCATGACAGTTTGCAGTCCATTTGAGTCATGGCAGCAGAAATGAACATAAACACAGTAATCATAAATATCCAAGCCTTGTTGGATGATCTGTAAACAGTTTTTGTAATGTGGGTTTGTAGAGGTTCAGTATAGAGGTGAGTTTGTTACTGAGGTGGGTTTCTTATTATGTTGTAGAGAAAATGAAAGATGCTCACAGTTCCCCACTTGAGGCAGCAGAATGGCCTTGACTCCTCAACAATGTGACACAGAGTTCGCCGAGAGCCAACGTACATAGTAATGGGGGGAACACCTATTGTAAACCTGAAACAGATTGTATTCAGTAAGAATAATGTGAGCAAAATATGCAAGGAATGTAGCAGCCACCTCCGAATTTCGATTTGCATGGACTGACCAGTTGCAACAAACAGGGAACTGACATAACATGTAAATATAGTAACCAACACTATCCATCACTGTCTGTTTCCAGCAGGACCAGCTGCAAACTCTGAGGACAAGTGTCCCCTGGAGGAGTCTAAAATGTTTACCAAATTTCTAATTTCTTGGGGCGGTGGGGTAGCCTAGTGGTTAAAGCATTGGCTCGTCACGCCGAGGACCCCGGGTTCGAATCCCCACATGGGTACAATGTGTGAAGCCCATTTCTGGTGTCCCCCGCCGTGATGTTGCTGGAATATTGGTAAAAGCGGCGTAAAACCAAACTCAGTCAGTCAGTCAGTCAGTCTAATTTCTCACATGCTCAGTTTGATCTAAACCTGTAATATTTCTCAAAGTTACCAACTGGAAACAAAGTTGGGTAAGCTTCTGACTAAATGCTGTCTTAGTTCTCTGATATTAACATTAACCAAGAACGCAAATACATTTATCTGCCAGATACCAGCTGAGCACAATATTGATGGAATTTATGTCAAAGTATATATGAACTCTAACATCACACAAAACAGACACATGCATATATCGACTCCATTAGCTCACTCACTCACTCACTCACTCACTCACTGTAAACACATACTTCACCAAAAAATATTTAATGTCATGCCCCTTCCTCTCTTGGTCAGCACAATATCTTTTTCTTTTCCCTTTAAAATCTTTACACCTATGTTAAAATAATCAATATTTTTTACTATGCAGCCAAATCCATGCAACTTCACCTTTCCTGCCCCATGTCGCTGTAGAACTGCAGCACCTTGCCGGAGCCTGTCCGGTGGGACACGCCATCGAGAGTGTCTTGTGGTGTTTCATTGATGTTGATGACGTCCGGTCCCTTTTCCACATGAATGAAGTCATCACTGCTTTCGTTGTTATTCTTGTTCCCATTCTTCGTTTGAATGAGTTTTGTTATCTCCTGGCCCATGAGGCTGGTGATGGTGTCGAACACACTCTCGCCGTCGTCATCATCGTCCTCCTCTTTCTGGTACTTCTGCAGGGCCAGTGCAATTTGTTCTGTAGAAGGACAATTGTAATAGTCAACATTCAAGATTACCTAGCTTGTTCAGGTGCATGATTTCACACAGCTGGCAAGTGAGTCGAATGTCAACAGAATTTCAGACTTTGTTAAAGGTAACTCTTAAATGCAGCTCTGAAAAGTATTTTTGTTTTTCACAGTATGTCAGCTTTCAAGGGAGGATGCAGGTCCTAAGTGTTTGGTACCCTGGTGAAACCCACCAACATTAAAATGGTGCTTACAAACCAAGAATCTTATGGCAATCTAGGATTCAAACCCATGACTCCAGGATCTTCACTTGCCTAAAGGATGCAGGTTTACAAAGTGGATTGTGGTGCCTGAGACAAGTGGGCTGAACTACTGAACTGTGAACTACTTTAGCACACCTTTAAGACAGGTAGGGTCATATGCAAACTGACATTCTTCCCTTTGTGGGGATTCTGGGTCAATTACTTCCATATGACACACAAGATGACAACTAAAAACTGGATGGTTACAACGTTCATCTGGCTGTATGTCACAGCAACCAACTATTGTTTCCAAATAGCCATGCCATCGACTGCTGGTTTTTACCTGGTCCAGATGATTAATTTACAGCTGCTGCTGTGTGACATTCACTAAGACAATTTGAGAAGTGTACATATAATTACCAAGGTTCTTTGCAACTCTCTCTGACTTGGGCACCTCTTGTTTCAGGGCCTCCGGGTTGATGCGGGAGTACTCCTCTTTGGTGACACTCATGTAGAAACAGTAGTCCGTCTTCTTCAGGATGTGTTTGGGGCCAGGGTTGAGCAGCAGCTTGGGCTCCTTCTCTGTCGGATCCAGGACAGCCAGCAGAGCTACGCCAAACCTGAGGGAGACAGGCCAACTTATATATAGTACGACATGTTAAATACCCTCAAAAAGACACTGGTTTCCATGGCGTATTTTAAAAAAATGTCTGTGCTATAATTCCACAACTTTACTAATTTGTAGAGTGTTCTGATACAAAACAGCTTGTAGTAAGTGTAAATGAACATTCTTACAACAGACTGGCATGTAGCAGGGAAGGTTGTTTTTTTTTTGTCTTTTTTGGTGTGTCTCAGGGACCGTGACCCTTGTTATCTTACTTGATATGTGAATGATGAATTGTGGTTTTAACAATCTAAAATTACTGGTCCACTTAATTACAACCACTGTTTACTGTTTATCAATACCTGTGAAGATATAAGTTAGATTCATCATCAGTAACCCATGCTTGCCGTAAGAGGCGACAAACGGGATCTTGTGTTCAGGCTTGCTGACTTGGTTGACACATGTCATCGTATCCAAATTGCGTAGATCGATGCTCATGATGTTGATCACTGGATTGTCTGGTCCCGACTCGATTATTTACAGACCGCCATATAGCTGGAATATTGCTGAATGTGGCGTAAAACTAAACTCACTCACATACTACTGTTTATCAAGAAGTTACAGACATGCTGTCTACAGGCTGTATCTGTCATAGTAAACTTCAAATTTGATATGATCATTTTGAAACCAACCGGTAACTTAACATAACTACATCTGCATTAACTAGCACATTGTTGTCTCAAAGGTCAGAGGAATTCATGTTGTTCCACTGTTTGCCAGGGGCACCAAAGTGGTGTAACAATCAAGTTGCATTTCCATCATGGCTACAGAATGTGAAGCACATTCAAAGTATCCCCTGCCATTATATCACTGGACTGGTTGGTTTGTTGTTAAATGCCTCACTCAGCAATATTCCAGCTATATGGTGGCGTTATATCACTGGACTGGTTGGTTTGTTGTTAAATGCCTCACTCAGCAATATTCCAGCTATATGGTGGCGTTATATCACTGGACTGGTTGGTTTGTTGTTAAATGCCTCACTCAGCAATATTCCAGCTATATGGTGGCGTTATATCACTGGACTGGTTGGTTTGTTGTTAAAGCGCCGCTATACTCAGCAATATTCCAGCTATATGGTGGCGTTATATCACTGGACTGGTTGGTTTGTTGTTCATCGCTGCACTCAGCAATATTCCAGCTATATGGTGGTGTTATATCACTGGACTGGGTTGGTTTGTTGTTATCAAATGTTAAACGCCACACTCAGCAATATTCCAGCTATATGGTGGCGTTATATCACTGGACTGGTTGGTTTGTTGTTCATCGCTGCAGTCAGCAATATTCCAGCTATATGGTGGTGTTATATCACTGGACTGGTTGGTTTGTTGTTAAATGCCACACTCAGCAATATTCCAGCTATATGGTGGCGTTATATCACTGGACTGGTTGGTTTGTTGTTAAATGCCGCACTCAGCAATATTCCAGCTATATGGTGGCGTTATATCACTGGACTGGTTGGTTTGTTGTTAAATGCCTCACTCAGCAATATTCCAGCTATATGGTGGCGTTATATCACTGGACTGGTTGGTTTGTTGTTAAATGCCACACTCAGCAATATTCCAGCTATATGGTGGCGTTATATCACTGGACTGGTTGGTTTGTTGTTAAATGCCTCACTCAGCAATATTCCAGCTATATGGTGGTGTTATATCACAGGAAGACAAGTAAATGCAGCATGAACTAATATACAATCCATTTCCTTTGGAGGACACTGACCTCTGATGTGCGTCAGCGGAGGCCTCGGTGAACTTACTCCCGCTGTACTGACTGAAGAATATGCTCTTCTGCACCTGGATGTGGTAGATCTCGTTTCCTGCATGACGCCCGTACACCTGCTGCCACGTCTCCGAGGCGATGTCCCCTCACTGCAACATATGCAACATCTTCAACTTTCCAGGGATTTATCTATCTGATATTCAGTCTCCAGATAACAATAGATCTCCATAAAATCCTCAAATACGAAAAGATATTCTGAAGTTAATGTCAAGCAGGAGGACTAGGCTTTAGTCCTTGGTTTAAGATTTCTGCATTGAATGCAATGTGAAAGAAAACAATCAAATATATCTGCACACACACACACACACACACACACACACACACACTTTTCTTTAAAAAAATATGATAAAATCCACAAATCTAATAACAAACAAATATTGACAATTTGCAAAGTTGCTTGCAAAAGGTACTTTATTTAGAATCCTAAGTAGTTAGCAACTTATAATATTAGAGAATTACCCTGTGTAATGTGGGGCTATGTATAAGACTTACATGCCGCTGGAGGTATGCACCAGGAGGGAGACCAGGGTGGACAGGCCGGGGTACAGACAGTTGTTGGCTAGAAGGGCGTACTTGAACTCATCCTCACACACTAAATGCTCTGAAACAATCCCACAGTAAATATAGCCGAGCTCCCTGGAGATACCAGGTTAAAACGGTGCCCCAGTAATGTAAGCTGGTAAAACAATCGGACCAAAGGGCTGGATGATCAGGCTCCATAACTTGGTTGACTCTGTGTAATGGTACCACAACACTGTGGATCAATGCTCACAAAGTGGATTACTGGACTGTTAAGTCCAGACTTTATTATTTGCAGGACATCATCAACTTGAAGGAAAGTCCTGAGTGTTGTGTTAAATATACAGACAAGTATAGCAGAGCTCCATTCTGATTAGGCTGTGAGATTGACTTGATACAAACAAAGAGCCAGGATACCCCAACAGCTCATAAATAAATGAGTGAGTGAGAAATAATGCCATTTAAACAGTAGGGCGTTAATGGTATTCCATGGCCTGATAGTTTGATTTTGGAGGAAAGTTAAAACAATGATAAGGGTTGGATATGTTTACAGCATGGGATCTCAGTGCATCTGATGGGACACTGAGTGACAGGTGCTGAGCTTCAGACCCCTTGGCCTGTGACGTCCCAGTTCAGAAATGAAGGGTAATCCATTCATTCATTCATTAACACTTCACCATCATCATGGGTCGGTGGGGTAGCCTAGTAGTTAAAATGTTGGCTCGTCACGGCGAAGACCCGGGTTCGATTCCCCACATGGGCACAATGTGTGAAACCCATTTCTGGAGTCCCCCGCCGTGATATTGCTGGAATATTGCTAAAAGCGGCGTAAAACTAAACTCAGTCAGTCAGTCAGTCACCATCATCATAGACATAACACTTCATGCATGTTCCAACAGCATTTTATAGTGTTTGGAAATCCCAATTAACAAACAAGATCAGAATCTGACTATGACAATGTTGCAGTACAACAACTTCTTTAATATCTATATGGTGCTATTTGGGAAAGATTCTTATACTGTTATAAAACTGACTATCTTCGATAATAAATGACAAATTTAAAAACATTCCTGTAACTATTGAGAGGAAAGGATCACATTGAGATATACTAAACAGTAAATGTTTGAAACATTTATTCATATCGTTACTATGGTTACTGAATGCAGGAAACAACAGATGATCTATTACCACATTTCCCACATAACTAGGGCATACAAAAGAATCCAGTAAATTCTATAGCCTGCTGCAAACAATGTAAGACTGAACCTACCAGCAAACTTGACATGCATCTTGTTCTTGGCTTTGAAAAGTTGGATGTACTGCTTACAGTTGGGAGCGAAGTCTTTGACCGCCCACGACCGGAGAATCGTGTGTTGATCCTGAAAGTTGACAAAACCTTTCATGAGCACAAAACATGTAGTCTGTGTACAAAATGTCTTCATACATATAAAGCAACAAGTGCTGAAAACTAGGGTATTGTAACTGTCATTACTGAGGAAAAGTGATAACAATGACGTTTGATCCTGAAACTCACTGATGTATCGACATAGGTCATAACCAGCATTCGAAATACCTGCCTGCCTGACCGCCTGGGATGGGTTATTTTCAACACGGACTGCCAGATTCTCAAATTCACCTGCCCGACGGTTGGGTTAAACTTTAGACATGTATATGAAGATATTTATCATATTTCAGGATAATAAATCATTATTAATTCACTCGTAAAAATAAATGATGAATTCCAATTGGATGATAAACTATGTTGTATGTCAAACCTAAATTATTTGCGGTCAGAGCTGGCAAGTTTTACATCTAACCAGCCCTGTGCTCTGGCTGAAATGTTTGGGAGTTTCATACCCTGCCATAACCATTCCAGTTTAATGTTGTTTATCATGTTTAATCCATGCTCAGTTCCAAATCAATATAATTTGAGTACTAATGATGACTGTAAAGTCTTTAGTCCTTCTCAGCTGTGTGATATTTTCAATATATATACTAACATATTGTTGTGGTGAGGGTGATAATGAAATTTCTTTGAAACAATGTCACAGGAAATGTACAAAACCTGGGATGACTACTATTTAATGAACAATTATTTGTTAGTTCTTTCCTGACATTTTCAACTTACTGCTTTGGCTTTGTTGACAGCAGATCTTGGAGCCAGGAAGAAACAGGCATCAGCTTGATGGATCCTAAAATATATTTTTCAATAGTAGAGAGTGAGAGAGTATGGTTTTACACTGCTTTTAGCAATATTCCTGCAATATCACAGCAGAGGATATACCAGAAATGGGCTTCACATATTGTACCCATGAGGGAAATTAAACCCGGTTTTCAGCTTGTTGAGCGGATGCTTTAACACTAGGCTACCCCACTGCCCCTTTTCCAGTTGTAAAAAGACTGAAATATTTCAAGAATTGAAAAGATACTTGCATTTTGAATAACACCTAAGTTTAATGATAGGTGCTCTGTTTAGACCAGTAGTGTGTAATAATTTTTCAAATGTATTCTTTAACCATTGAATGATGTTCAATATCTGGTAAAAATGTCATCATTAATTGTAGTTATGTCAACTGTAAAAATTCAGTGGTCAAAATTATGTGGCAATTGTTTAATGTTGCACAAACAATAATCTAGGTAAGATGACATCATAAATCTGGACCAGACGCCCAGGTGATTGATATCACAAGGAACAATCCATGCCATCAAGGTCCAGCACAGGTTGCTAGGTAACAGTTTTAACTAAAACAACCAACAGGGCCTCAGCCTGACGACATTGTCACCTGCATCGCTTGAGGTCCAAGTCTTTGAGTGGACTGCCCCTCATGTAGATGACCCTGTGGGTCCACTTGGGGTCCTTCAGTATAACCTGCATGCTGTTGTCCAGCTCCCTCGGGCTCAGCAGTATGACCATGTGTTCCTGTAGCAGAGAGTTATCTCCCTTAGTTTAACTCCTTCAAGAATTCAAAACAAAACTAAAATTGCAAAATAGTCACAATTGTACCTTCATCATTCTGCAAACCAACTAATTAATATTTCCGATATCACCCGAAATAAAGAACATCAAGATTGCAGCAACTGAAGTTTATCTGCAACAGTGTTAAATACATGCAAAGATTCAGATGTCACAGTTTTAGGAGAATGTCTTAATCATATGTGAAGCTACAGTGAAAATATTACAGTTTAATACACTGATACCTGTGTCAACAATCACAATAGAATGTGTTTTAAAATGAAAAAGATCTGCTGTCAGGTCATTAATTATGAACTAAAACTGAATTTCATTTTGTCATGTTCACATAAATCCCTCATATGACAGATGATGCTCCGAAGTGTCTAGCCTCTCAGTCTACATTCTGAACAAACTGCTCTACCCTTGTTAGCAGTGATCTCCAACCACACATACTGCTCTCCCCTTGTTAGCAGTGGTCTCCAACCACACATACTGCTCTCCCCTTGTTAGCAGTCATCTCCAACCACACATACTGCTCTCCCCTTGTTAGCAGTGGTCTCCAACCACACATACTGCTCTCCCCTTGTTAGCAGTCATCTCCAACCACACATACTACTCTCCCCTTGTTAGCAGTGATCTCCAACCACACATACTACTCTCCCCTTGTTAGCAGTGATCTCCAACCACACATACTGCTCTCCCCTTGTTAGCAGTGATCTCCAACCACACATACTGCTAGCAGTGATCTCCAACCACACATACTGCTCTCCCCTTGCTAGCAGTGATTCCAACCACACATACTGCTCAACCCTGTAAATCATGCAGTGCTACACGTAGCGATACCTGGGGAGGTAAATCAATTTGAACTACCACAAACTTTACTTTATATGGCTCGATGTACGCAAATCAGATAACACAAAAGTGCACACATTTTCACAAGATTTTCTGTTGATTGCATAACAAAAAAACAACCCAATTCATGTTTACTTAGTTACAAAGCAATATGCAGCATTCTGGAGGTGACTTGAATTTTATTGATAGAAATAATATAAATGAAGGCTCATAACTGAATTATATGCAAAAGTACCTCTTTTTTTAAGAGTAAACTAACTTGTAGTTAATCCCTTACTTTCCACTGTTTGCTTGGAATTAGTTTGGAATCCAATATAAATCTCTAAATTAACCAACATTCATATGCAGTGACAAATATGGTTGAAATAGCATAACTATGCGTTTTGACACAATCATGCACACAATATACAAAATGTGCATACATTTGGGAAAAGAGCTGACAGCTGACAATAGAAACAAATAATTAAGAGACGTTCATGCATTTAATAGGAAAAGATATTGCATTTATTGTTGCTCAGTACGTGGGAGTTGGGGGTGCACAAGGAAGTGGCTGGTTCAAGTATAGGTGGGCGATGTACACATATGTTTGTGCATAGGCATGTATGAATGTGTGTGCACGCATAATAGGCAAAGTTGAAACACTGTAAGGCTCTCACAGATAGTCCACTTTATACAAAGTGTGGATGATATGGTCACAATAACGACAGGAACTCTTAATTTTCTTTTACAGCCAACGAACTAGGTACAGACAACTCACTGCTGGTGTGAACCTCTCCCTGGTTACAGGTGTGGCACTGTGTTACATAGGTGTGTGGAGGGTGGGGTGTGTGGATCAAAACTGGACGGAATGTGAGGGGTTGAGGATGCATGCAGTTCCTGTATCACATAGCATCATTACAAGCTAATGCACACTGAGGAAAACACATCTAGGTCAAAAGTGAAGAAGAACATGTCGTAGGGTATGGATTACTTTGCTGTAGGGTATGGATTACTTTGTGACACAAGGGGAGCAGAAATGTCACCTGTAGGTGCTTGTGTCCAGGTGTTTTCTAGCAAACAAAATGTAAAAGGAATATTTCCTTAACGTGGACTGTCCTGTTTCAATTACACCATCATCTCTGACATTAGTAATAGCATGTACTTTCATATTCATAAAGGTCTGGAAAGTCCATTTGAAATGTTAATCATATCAAGAGTAAAAAGTACCACCTTTCAAACAGAAACCTAACTGGCATGTGTACCAGCCAGCCATATTGAAGCATTACCGTAGCGGGAATTCCTGTATTTACTCCCACGCAAAATTTAAAATGGGCTAAAATAAGGGATTTTTTCCGTATTTAAGCCCATGGGCTTAAATTTGGATTTAATGCTTGGGTGTTTAGAGTGACGTCCCTTTCCAAACGCATGGCGAACCTCGACGTTTATAATTTTAGAAGTGTCTCTGAGAGGTTATCACGTTTACAGACCATTTTGGACACAAGTTACAGGGCAGTTATTAGAGACAGAAATTGATCATCTTAACCCCTATTATGTGCATGCAGTTGCAGTTAAATTGAACCATGTGGTCATTCAATTTTTAATTTAAAGACCAGTTTCCTGATAAAAGAGTTTTAAAAAAAACAATTATTTTTATTTTATCAACATATTGCGCATTTTCGAATTTAAGCCCTGGGCTTAAATATGGTTAAAATATTTCATCACTAGAACAGTGATTTTCCGTTATTTAGCCAAGGGCTTAAATACGGGAAATTCCGGGACAATGTAAGCTGCTTCACTCTTTGTTAACTGTTGGACCAGCATCCAGAGTCAAGAATGAAACATACAACTGTACAGATGACAACTTCTTGTTTATTGCATAGAGCAACATTTTGATGTAGATTCTTTTTAGCTTGATAATGGTGTAAGAATCTACATCCAAATGTCGCTGTATGCAATAAACAAGAAGTTGTCATCCATACAGCTGTATGTTTCATCTTTGGTTCACTCTTGTTTGCTCCCATGACAAGCAGTGGGTAGTGGTCCACTCACTAATCTCAATATCATGGGACTACTGTAAATAATCAAGTGATTGAGTTCATTTTCGTCAGCAGTAATGAAGGAGGAATTGTACAGTCTTGTAATTAGAAATAAAACATGACTGTGCATGACTAGCTTGGATCATTGCGGATTTGCATATGGAATTTCAAACCCACGAACATAGGTTCCTGGCAGTCATGCACAGGTGAGGTGAGGTGAAATTGGGTTTTACGTCGTGCTTGAGAATATTTCGCTCATATGACGACGCATGCATGCATGTGTATATGTATGTGCGGCTGCTTGTACTAGCCCAGACTGAAGCTGGTTTTAAAGTGCTAGCCCACTGAGATACCATGCCGCAGTGAAGCATGAATACCCCACTCAGACACATTAAACTGACTCCGAGCCAACCAGGCCTTGTTGTACCCATTAATGCCGAGCGCCAGGCAGGGACCAACACGTACCATATTTTAACGTCTTGTGGTATGACGCAGTTGGGGATCGAACCCGCGACCTTCCGCTCTCCGGGCAGGCGCTCTAACCACTACACCACGGAGGCGGTCCATGCACAGGTAATCTCAGAATGATGTGTGTGTTGCTGACTACTTTTTTCCGCAATGTTTCAACCGTATGATGGCAGCCAGTATATAATCTGTATCAGACACTGTGCTGTGTAGTATAGAGGGAGATGTGCCATAGGGGTATGCTGACATGCTATCAAACAGGTCGTGATCAGACTACCTGATCAAATAAGACCAGTACATGTTGTGTAGGACCTACTCTAACCTAGAATCCCCATGTTGATAACCTCTGCGCCTGGAGAGCAGCTGATACCACCTTGGACTTCATGCATTCACCATACAAGATATGACATCAAAACACCACATAAACAAAACCATGCATCATGAACGTTGTCATGCATATATAAAATAAATAAACATCATTAACTGGATAGACACATTAAATACACAAATAGTCATGTGTTCCAATGAAATTATCATCAGGCATTTTTCTTATGCATGGGAAATATTGTGGATAAAATACATGAGTACAACAGGTCTTACACTGATTTGATTACACATCAACGTGCCCACTGACCTCTGACCTACGGATAGCAGAGGCACGCTCCTGCAACATGTGACAGTACTCATGCACACTTCCACCCATTTACTGGCATTACAGTAGATGGTAGCCTTTAGTTCAGGTCAGTTCAGGCTGGTGCTTTACTATGGTGACCAGTAATCCATGTGGGTTCTAAGGAATATGGGATTAATCTATAAAACAAGTATATGGATGGCAACTTCTTATTTATTGTATAACACAAAGTTGCTGGGCCAATTCTTGCCCCTTCTTCAAGTCAGTGGCCAAAATTTTGCGTTGTACAATAAATAAGAAGTTGCCATCCATATACTTGTCTTATATATTCACCAACTGCTAAATGCCTCTCAAGAATCTGGGACTAATCGACTAGTGGCCATGTTTGTCCCTGACACAGCAATATTTCCGCTATATCATGGCTGCTGCATTCAAATCTGAACCATATAATCAAGTGATTGATGTTATGAGCATGCTGTTGGTATACAACGACACACTGCCCTCTTGGTTGCCTCTTACAGCTAGAATATCGTTAGTGTAGACCTAGCCAATCCTGGGATCTTCACAGAGATTATCTCGCTCAGCGTAACACACTGAACCTGAGAATAGGTCTTCCTGGTCTTCCAGTGACTACTATCGGGATCGCGAATGACAAAACATTCATAGAGCTACAACATTCGTATGCGCCTATGATTAACTATAGAGTTACAACAGATCATAACATTAGAAATGCTTTGTGGATCGGGACCATGATCTGAAAGACTTGGATCCATTGTAGGATTCTAGTGGTTGCAAATGTTCGCCAGATCAGATATCTAATCTAGTTCTGAATCTTCAACTAAATACAGTGTTCACGAATGGCCTCAATACAACAAGGTAGCTCAACACAGACTGTATTATTTGTCTAAAAGACACAAGCAAGGACATTCAACCACAAAAGTGACCTGACACCTGTACTATACATACCAGTCACCTGGCTGCAGGAAACAAACACTGTCATGAACACCGTGTAGTGAAGCAGGCACAGTGATCAAAGAGCACTCTCCGAACATAGGTATTGATTAAGAGAAAACAATGATGGAGTTTGGCTTTAACTTTGCTTGAAGCAGTATTTCCCACAGTATCAAAGAGATCATCCAAGGATTCTTCCAGACTAAGGGAAGCAACTCTGCTATCCCTAAAACTGTACATGATCCATAGATAACAGACACGAACCATGACTGTAACACACTACATTTATACTTTCTAGAAAGTTAAATTCAGAGCAACTCTTTTTTTGTGTGGTCTTTCATTACAGGACATTTCTTGGTTTCAGCAAGATCCAAACATTCCAAGAATTCCACTTGTTCGAATAAATGGTTAAACTTCAGATTATGAGAACGAGAATGTTTATACTTGTTGTTAGGTGGATCTAGTTGTGCCTGTTTCTACAAATATAGTCATAGTGAAAATCATCTTGCATCAAAAAGGTCAGTCATGAAGAAAAATATGTCATGCTGACTCTGAATTTCAATATTTTTTAGATCTGAGGATTCACAAATCAAGGAAACTAAAATGTTATGCCTTATCAATAAGAATCGAGTGCAAACACTAAGAGGGACAGACCAAGAATTCTTCTATTTCAGACACATATAATTTTTGTAATTTTATGCAAAGTACATTCCCTTTTTATACTTAACTGTATTTCATTGTCATTTTACGCAAAGCTCACTATTAGATTGGTGTCAAGCTTATTGGAATGTTTGGTTATTCATGTTATTCCACATAGTAGACCAGTCAGGAACATATAATGCATTTGTTAGCTCCCTTAAGGCATCAAAGTTTCCAGGAAAAATCTTCAGTGATTACAGGACAGCCGATAGAGTGAATTAGTTTGTTAATGAAACCCATGCTGAGTGTTAAATCTAATATCAACTATTTATAAAGGGTTACTGAATGCCAGATATCTAAATGATTTACATGCATACCTCTAGCTTAGGATGGGCATAGAACTCATTGAGGAAGTCCATGATGGCCTCGACGTTGAGGACACTGGAGCAGACCACCACGTGTTTGTTTCTGGACGCTGCTCGATGACTGTACTCTCCCCCGGCCTTCTGCCGCTCGATCCATGTAGAGGCTATCACTTCAATCTGTGGAAGAAAAGGTTATAAAGATGCAGCATTTCTCAAAATCTTAGGACTCAGTGATTTGATCTCATATGTTTCAAACAAAACCCAGGGGTGGTGGGGCAGAATAATGGCTAAAGCATCCGCTCGACACACTGAAGACCTGGGTTCGAAGCCCATTTCTGGTGTACCCTGCCGTGATATTGCTGGAATATGGGTAAAAGTGGTATAAAATCATACTCACTCACTTCATACACAACCCTGGATCATTGACATGAAGTGTGTTCTAAAAGCATTAACATCTCATAATATCTATAGCTTGTAGAAAAATCAGTGATATAAAATGTTCAGTAAATCTGAGAGAACCAAATATCATGATCAATGACCTCTTGAACACTGGAATTATTATATCATATGGATTGATATAGGTCTTGATTAACATCTTATAGCTAAAACACAAATGCAACATTTGTGGCATGGCTTCCGTTCAGAACGACTCATATAAGAACTAAAATAGTATAAGGCCAGACTTTGTTACATGTGTACTGTGTCCCATTTACTAGCATTGATGGTCATGTCAGTCATTGGTTTGTCTGGTCCAGATGTGATAATTTACAAGCCATCATACCACTACAATATTGATCAACAAACAAATAAACAAAACAAAATCATCTCAGATTCTTAATGTCACAAATGTATCCAAGGGACATAACTCATGCAGGTATAGCTGGCTTGACTCAGTCAAGCTTACAACCACTTCGACAAATGCTTCCTCCATTGCATGACTTATACAATCATACAGTGACACTGACCCTCATTCATTCACTTCAAACTGCCCTTGTATCTACTTGTGCTGCACACAACAATGTACGTGTTACACAATATCTGCTTGAGATCCAATCTCACTAGGTGGGGTACATCATGGTTGGTAGATTTTTACAAAAGTATATTTATAACAAAACTTTGTTTGTGCAAAAACATATTTCCTTGCTTAATGCTTGCATGGTTGAGAGGTTTGCGATCATTAAGTTTACTCAGGAAGTTATTGCTGAGGCGGTGGATAAGTTTGATTTTTGTTTCCATGGTTACCTGTCTTGGTATGAAAGCCAGCGCGATGCATATCATGAGGATCATAAAGAGCTGGCCCAGCCAGATGTCCGGTGATATGTCTCCATAGCCGACCGTTGAGAATGTCACGATGACAAAGTATAAAGACTCAAACATTGTCAGAGGCGTCTCTGAGCTGCCTCTCTGGATGTGTTGGATTCCACAGATTCTGGCAAGAAATGGCACACCAACATTACAAATAGGGAAGATATAGAATATACATTCACATTTTGGCCTGTTCAACTTCACAATACTTGCACCAGACCAGGGCTGATTGCTTTTATGACCTACCAGCCCGACTGAAAACCAACAATCAACTGTGTCTAAAAGTATCTTTAATTAAATAGAACAGAAAAAAGGTATGTTTAATGAGCAGCTGTTCACCTCTGACATATAGGACCCACATCAAGTTCACAAATAAACTCATCATTGTGTACCTGTGTGTACACTCTGGAGATATTGTTCAAATATCAACCTGTCAGTCTATGTAATTTTTTCCGTTTTGAGTGCTTGCGAGGATGGCTATTTCGAACACTGCTGTTGCCCATATATTTGAAGATGAAGATAAACTGAATTTGTAAACTAAGAGCACAGAAATGACATGCTTTTTAATATTTTTATGTAGTTGCCACTAATTAATACACTTCAATCACATGCATGAGTGAGTGAGTGAGTATGGTTTTTACGCCGCTTTTTAGCAATATTCCAGCAATATCACGGCGGGGAACACCAGAAATGGGCTTCACACATTGTACCCATGTGGGGAATCGAACCCGGGTCTTCGGCGTGATGAGCGAACGCTTTAACCACTAGGATACCCCACCGCCCCACACATGCATGAGAGGTAACCAATACCTGCATTTGTATGTCAGATACTTTGTAAGCCAACATTAAGCAAATCACCCAAATGGAAATGAAGCAAGCATAGAAACATTCACAAGGGATAGTTCTATGGATATACAACTTCTTTACTACAAAAAATGCGATGCTTTGGTGCAGATGCTAACACTGTCATCAAGCAAGATAATATTCTTAGCATCTACATCGAAAAGTTGCATAATTTGTAATAAAGAAGTTGCATATTCATAGAAATAACCAACTTGTTCATGACAAGAAAGAAGTAACCCAAACACTTAAACAGGACAACAAAGCCATGACACCTTAGCATAGTGACAATAAATGAAACAGACTCGTGTCACAATGTCACAAATTGCAAGATGCTTGGAGTCCTTTGAAACTTGCAATTTTTTCTAGTAATATTTCAAGGCCACCCTAACACACCAAAGTTTATTGTATTTCAAGTGTTTTGGAACAAATTTGAAAATTAGCACCAATAATAAAAAAAATTCTCATAATCGAGCCTATTGCAGTGATGTGATTCCCCTGAATCAGAGGTATGTTGTGATGATTTGATACCTCAGATTTACAGATTCACGCTACAGTAACCCTGTCCCAACTCACGTGGTGAACACCATACAGAAGAGACTGGCAACCAACAGCAGGATCTGCTGGGACAACGTCACTGAGATGGTCTGGAAGCGTGTCCGGGTCAAGTGAAGGTCATTCTGGAAACACAATACAATTTCTGCTATTATGTGGAGCATGCAATATATATATTCAGTAAAATATGGTTACAACAAACTAAAAGGACCAGGTAGTTATATATAGTTTCTAGTAGCGGTAATTTATTGTAGGTGTTTCTATTAAAATTTACAGCAAATGGCAGGGACCCCAAAATGTTTGTTATATCCATTAACGGTAGTTTATTATCAGCATGTTTGTTAAACAAGCAGTTATAAGGATACAGAGCACTTTAGCCTCATGTCTCTGCATGAAGAAGGGGCTCAAGTGGATTGATAACTATCAGTATTCACCTTAAATATTGTTTGTAGCTGAAATTTATGCAACATTGTGTACCACCTCAGTTCTTCTCAGTCTCAAAGTGAACAACCAGCAACAAGTAGTTTTAAACACTTACAAATATCCTTTCCAGTGCCAGTTTGGCCAACCAGCAGTTGAGGAATCCAGGCACAAACAGGTGCTGCATAAGAGGAGGGTAGGCCAACTGAAAGGTGGAAAAAAATACATTACATAATTCAAGGGGGTAATCTTTTTTGTTCTTGTTCCGGGGAGGTCAATGTCAATTTTGCAATTTTGTACACATATACTTGGTGTGTGTGTGTGTGTGTGTGTGTGTGTGTGTGTGTGTGTGTGTGTGTGTGTGTGTGAGTGAGTGAGTGAGTGAGTGAGTGAGAGATATCTCAAATGAAGGTCAAGGTCACCAAACCTGACTGGGACCTTTCTTATACTGTGATGAACCTAGGTACCAAATATGAGAAGAATCCAGTCAACGGTTCTTAAGATATTCTAATTCGTACGGACGGAGCCTAATACTATATCCCCGGCTTCGCACTAAACACACAGTGGGGATAATCAGGCAGGTGATTTCCATTGTTGCCAAGCATCTTATATTTGACTTTTAAGGATGCACTCAGCATCAGAGCTATATTTCAGGGGGTATGAATAACCGAGTCTGGACGAGACAATCCAATCTCACCACCTTATTCATTATGTAACCACTTACAACTTGCTCTATCTGAATAGGATTTCTCCTCTCCCCAATCCCATTGAAAACTTTTCAAATGTCACTTTCAAGGCTACATTATTTGGGTTATTAGCCTTCATCTGATAACATCTTTTGTTCAAACCGCCATACTATATAATACCTAAAACACAGAATGAACATCACACATATTCAAACAACATACATTTTCACTTCCAACTAACGAAATACATTATATGTATCTTGAACTTAAATACTTATGCTATCTTAATACTATTGTATATGTCATGTTGTACACTCACGTATTTAATGCCGATGTGATGTAAAACCCAACTTAACTCAACTCACTCACGTAACCCTGATTTGTGGATATAAGGGAAGAGTGGCGAAAATCATATTTTAACACGCTGACTGCCTACACGAGTATACTCGTAGTGGCAAATTGGGACGGACATTATTACTACTAGTATATTCGAGGCTGCAGTCAATGTGTTAAATGCATGATTTCATTTTGTACACTCACTGATTATTTTATTCATTGATTCAGCAAATTGATTTTGCTTATTATTCCACTCATGAATGAAACTTTTGTTTACCGAAGCCATTTGCAATTGTCACCCATTTGTGTGCCCACAAAATGTGACGTCACCTTGTTTCGTGGATTACGTAGTCGGTTACAATATATCACTATGTATGACAGCCCATTACGGTAAGTATTGACACCTTGGAAAGCAGACGACGAGATGTGAGAAGGTTGGTGCTAACAGTATCTTTTACACTTGTCATTTTGTAAAATATAAAATTTGTGATCTTGGGCTATTTATCACAGTGCTTGACAATTAGATTTAGTGTATTTACGTATAATGCAGAGATTCGGAACATTTTTGTCAGTGAGGCGTGGCATTGTATGTACAACCAAAGGTACTGCTTCGTGGCGTCATATGTGACTCCATTTATGAGATGGCATGATAACAACTGTGATCCACGAATGAAGGTTAGTCATGAATTTAAGTTACACACATATATATACATATATATACAAACTGCAAGCTAATCAAAGCTACATTAAGAGGGACCATACAATTTAAGGTCGTTTCAAAACTGTGTGAACCATGCAATTGGTTGTAAGTGATAAAGATGGCAAAGTCAATATAAACCACCTCACAGTCATTGTTTCAAAATATAATTTCCCTTTCCATCAAGCCAATACTGTGATTGTGTAGCCCTAAATGAGCATTTCCTTTTCAATTTGCTGTTCAGTTCAGTTGTTTATTTCTATCAGTTATATATTTTCCAGAACTAGATGTTCTTCTAATTGAATATATGCAGTACAAATGACAGGTGCTCTATTTTTTACGAAAAAAGGTTTTACTTGATCACATTGACTGTAATGATTGCAATGTAATTATTGTAATGAATCCTCCAAACTGGTAAGGGTTGTTATTTCTGTATGAGCTGTACTTACTGTCATCAGATATGGTGTGCTGCAGACCACCTCCAGGAAGAAATTGGTTGTGAGGATCTGCTCCATCCTGTGACCCTGTGTCAGGAATAGATTGTGTCAGGCATAGACTATATCAGGCATAGATTGTGTCAGGTGTAGATTGTGTCAGGCATAGACTGTGTCAGGCATAGATTGTGCCAGGTGTAGATTGTGTCAGGCATAGGTTGTGTTAGGAATAGATTGTATCACGCTTAAATTGTGTTAGGCATAGATTGTGTTAGGAATAGATTGTGTCATTAAAATTTTAGTGTAATATTTCTTTGTGTGAATTAAGGCTGTAACGATTCACTCGCATATTCGGTGAATTGAACCGTAGCCCTTCATGAATTCAATTCTTATTTGTGGTTACCAGAACCGAATATTAACGAATATTTACGATTTGTTTTAAGGGAGCATGTTTTACTGGAACCCTTATGTACTTTTGGAAAGTGACATATGCAAGAATTGAATATGTACTAGCCTTGCAGTAGCGCAAGTCATGTGAGTTTGCCAAGGCCGCACATGGTACTGTCATCTATAACTATTACATACCAAATTTGAGTGTCATGAGATCACTGGTTATTGCTGTGACAAATCAAAACTGTCAACATGGGTGTTCCATATTGTACATCAATCACTTAACTACAATATCGTATTCATGAATAATTATTCGTATTCGTTACCCAATATTCATGACATGTATCATATTCGCCACATAGTGTATTCGTTGCAGCCCTAGTGTGAATCAAAAAGCCTGCCTTTGTACATTTTTGACAGATGTGCTGAAATGCTGTTGCATTTCGTGAATTTTAACTGCATCAATGTGATCTTTAGAAGTTTGATGTCTCATGTCGATTTCTGAATACTTTGACAACCAAAGGGGTTCGATTTATTTTTTGCTAGAATGCACATAACTCAGGTCATATTTTCGCAGCTGGTTTTAGTGCTCATCATTAGAAACGTCAGGAGATTTGTTTTTCTTGCTTTCATTACCGAAAAATGAGTCAAGCGACCACTGTTTCTTAGCAGGACAGAGGGCTGTAATTGAATTCGTAGACCTGACTGGATCGTAGACGTGGAAATCTGGTGGATTCGTAGGCAGATTGAGCGGTGGATTCGTAGATGTTAGTAAAATGGGGAAACTTCAACATCATTGATGATGAAAATCGATATTATGACTTTAGTGTAAACAAAAAGTGTTCGAGTTTTGTGAAATAAAATAAATATATTAGGTAAGTATGATCAGTGATGAAAAAAACATTATAAACATTCAACTTCGTAATACACAATCAAAGTGATTATCAAAATTAATATGTTGACAAAATACTATTATTCAATTATTTATACATGTCTACGAATCCACCGCGTCTACGAACTGGTGCAGCCTACGAAAACACCGTCTCTGGGACAGACAATGCTTAAATTACCAAAACATAGTCTAAACATAGCGAATGACGTATTCAACTGCTATTTACTGTCTGAAAATTGTGAATGACATACTCAAATGCTATTGGCGGTTATTTTTACCGCACTCTGGCATGGCTCTATTTTTAGCCATTCGGTGTTCCGTACTTTCTGTTAATATCCCGAGCATTTTCAACACAGTTTGCAATATAACGAAAGCTATCATGCGATTTGCTTATCAAAACGATTTTATTGAACTGAATTCTGAGGGTCACTCATGAAACTTGCATCAAGCTTGATTCGTATGATAATATTTTGAGAGTCGGTTACAAAATTGTTGCGTCAAATACGCAGGAATCACGCGTCATTTAAAACCCTGAGGAGACTGTTACAGAAGTAGATTGCTTCAGACATAAATTGTGTCAGAAGTAGACTGTGTCATATGTTAATTGCAGCATCAGGCACAGCTTGTGCAAGAAGTAGATTTTGTCAGACATAGATTGTGTTGGGCAGTGATTTACAGCTGTGGATTGTGTCAGATGTAGATTGCAACAGAGGGAGTTAGTGAGTATGGTTTTACGCTGGTTTTAGTAATATTCCATCAATATCCGGTGGGAAACACCAGAAATGGGCTTCACACAGATTGCAACAGAAGAAGATTGTGTCTGATGTAGATTGTGATAAAAGTAGAATGGGTAAGATGTACATCATGACAGGTGAAGCTTATGTCAGTCATGGATTGTGTCTGTCATATATCATGTGAGAATTAGACCTTCAATTAATCTCAACTAGACTGACATACATTTATTATGTGGGCTTCAAACATGGCAGTAACTCTTACCATCGTTGTGATGTACAGAAAAATTAGCGACTGAAAATGGTGAGAACTCTCACCTTTGTTGTGACGTAGACTAGAATTAAGGCCTTAAAGATGGTGACTGCCGATAGAGAGACTTGCATGATCCACAGCCACAGCGGCCGATGCACCCACAACAACACGTACCTGGATGCAGCACAACAACAACATACATGCACGTCACACACAAAGACTTCAACATGCCGGTAGGGGCAAATAGAAGGGTGTTCAATAGGAATGTCAAACATAACGTCAGTACAAAATACAAATCAAACTCAGTACAAAAACAAAACAATATTCACACAATAAGATAGTGAGCATGCTTTATTGAAAAAAAACCTCTTATGCATTAATGGTAAAATCAAGTTACCAAACATGCCACAGCAAAATAAAGTGACTGCATGATATGGATAAAGCTTACTTATTATCCATTTAATACAACAGTAGACACCTTACTATGAATAGGCACTTGCAGATGGTCAAGAAATGGTTGTATTTCACAGAAATCGCAGAATTAGTTGTAAAGTTGACACCTCTTTGTTGGACATAGACATATACCTATGAAATACCTTACTGGAATTGACTGACGGACTGACTGAGTATGGTTTTACGCCGTTTTTAGCAATATTCCAGCAATATAACGGCAGGGGGACACCAGAAATGGGCTTCACACATTATACCCATGTGGGGATTTGAACCCGGGTCTTCGGCGTGACGAGCGAACGCTGTAAAGACTACGCTACCCCTCCGCCCTACTGGAATTGAAAAGGAGCAGTAGTGCTGGTAATGAGAAACTCACTGGTGTTGCAGTTTGTGACTCTAGCTACTTGTCCAAAGCCTGAGTGTAGTAAAATTCGAACTAACCTGTAGAGGTTTCAGATTCTTTGAATATATTCCTCCTTGGGGTACTTATAAGCATTTAAATGTCCATTTAAAATCCCTACCGACAGTTGTAACAATATTTGAATAAAAATATTTACAAAACAAAAACTACGCTTTGTCTTGTGAGACCACCCTTACAGGGGCCCTCTGGCCCCTACAGCCAAGAGCAGGTAACTCTAGACCGTAACCTCGTACCTCACTTTCCATGCTGAAGCGACATCAGACAGACTGTGGGGAGGTGGTGGTAGTACCCAAGGAGGAATATATTCAAAGAATCTGAAACCTCTACAGGTTAGTTCGATTCTTTTTTATATATTCCTCCTTGGGGTACTTATAAGCATAAGACAGACTCCTAAAGACGGAGCTAAGGAGCGGCATTTTGTCTGCAGAAAACACCCCCGACAAGAAGTGGAATTTCCCAAGCTAATTATAGCAGAAAAAGCACACTTACCCGGTCACGCGTGTCCACCATAGCCAATCAGGCGGGGGCATGAGCCAGGGTCAGGGTCGAACATATGTAAATTGCCTAGCCGAGAAACCTCGCTAAAGCAAAATAACGAGACACACCCTCCCTCCTTCCCGTAATCTACTCGAATCTACTGGTCCCGCAATAAGCCGCCAGAAACGAAATGCCTTAATATGTATATATTTAGCAAAGCTTCCAAGGCCAGTAAAGTCTAGAGCAGAATGCAAAAGACATGGGAATAAAAACCATCACCACATAAAACCCGTCACCAAGGGAATATGTAAACAAGATTTTTAAAACCCAACACCAGTGTTAAAAAATTTGGCATAGAATGGTTCACATAATTCCTCGAAAGCTCAATCGGCTAGAGAGGTGGAACCATGCCCACTGGAGAGAACTGACTGACCGAACCGAGCACGATCCTTAGAATGCGTGTCAAGTTGGTAATGGCGAATGAAGGCGTTCTGCTGGCTCCAAAGAGCGACAGAACCGATCTCATCATTGAGCAGTGCCGCTGTGTAATGTCAACAAAGCGGCATCTGCCCTACCCAGTCTGCCTTCAACCCCTCGGGGGGAGGTAAACCTTATCATTGTAACCATACAATTACGAAACAAGCCAACGAGATAAAGTGCGCTTGCTAGCAGACTCCCCAGTCTTCCGCCACCCGAACAGCCCACATGGGTACCCGTCACGGATCCCTGTTGTTCGCTCGTTGCGTTAAGTGACAGGCACGGGTGAGCAATCGAAGATTGGTCCCGGATGCGGAAGGCTGGTTAAAGGGGTGGAAGTGCGATATGAGCAGTCACGTGGAAAGCAATATCACACTGACAGTGGTAGGTATCCGAGTCGAATACGGACATGATCAGTATAAAATACTGTCAGTGTCGGGTCAGTGGAATCGCATGGATGTACCCGACCCTTCTACCAGAGTTCACCACAACAAGTAAAGTCGTCTTCCACGTCAATAAGTGAAGTAGAGAGAGACGATATACTTGAAAAATTAGGGCCGGACAGCCAATTGTGAATAAGTGGCAATTTTAAGGTGGGCTGGGTCGCCCGGCCGAGGCGGTCGAACCCTGTTCATGCCAGCTCTGACGACGCGATGTGCGAGAGGATGCTGCCTAGGCAGAGCACCATCGAGCGAGGTGTGAAGCGTGGAAATAGCCATAGAGTACCCGGCAATGGCGGAGGTCATAAGGCTCTCAACCAAAGCGAGGTTATAGTAACTCCAATATCCGAACTAAATCCGCAGAAGAGGGATTATGAAATCCCCTATCTGCACACCAGCAGCAGCCCACCTATCAACACACTGAGCGGGTGTGAATCCCAGCCAGAATTGTGTCTGCAACTGGTGCAGGAATTCGCTTTCGCCGAGGCGATCCCTGACAGCGGCCAAGCCACCCACTGAATCCTGGGATTGGTGGAAGCTCCGTTCTGGGATAGGAGGGCGGTCGAAAAGGTGTTAGAACAGGAAGCTGAGCCAGAAACATGAGAATTACGGAAACCAGCGTTGTGCCGACCAAAGGGGTGCCAGAAGCACAAGTAGCCGAGCTGGTTGTGCGGTCAGCTGTGACAGGACCCTGGAATCAGTGGTATTGGGGGCATACAGTACCCCTGTCCGTCCAATCGAGCTGAAAGGCGCGTTGGCTAGCATAAAACACAGGATTTGGTTCGTCACCCCAGACGCAAACAGATCCACCTGGAACGACCGAACAACTGGGAGATAATCCCGAATATCTCCCGGTCGAGCATCCACTCGTGTGTGGGCTAGTATATGCCGTGAGAGTGCATCTGCACGGACGTTGTCTACCCGGGAGATAAACAGGCCAAAACCGAATGCTGAACTGATCGCACCACAGTAGAAACTGCCACGCCTCCTGAAGGGCCGACGGAGACACTGTGCCGCCTTGCTTGAGAATGGAAGACATGGCCGTTTGATTGTCCATTTCTAGGCGAACCACGCGGCCCTGCACCAACCCGGAAGCACTCGAACACCCTGCAGACTGCTCTCTCAGTTCTCAGAGGCTGAGTGCTCGCCCAGGACCCCCAAACCTGTGAGGGAGGCGTCCGTCTGAACTGAGAGGGAAGGTGTTGGGGTGTCGAGGGGGATCCCCTGGACAAATTCCTGGCGTCCGGTCCACCATGCGCCAAGTGAGGAATTAACCACTGGGGCGTTGTGAGAATAATCTCGTAGCTCTGTGAGTGGGACCACAGCTGAGCTGGCGCTTGCTGAACTGGTCGCATCCTCAGGCAGCGCCGCATAAAACCCGTCCACTGTGCGCGCCATGTTGCCTAGCAGCGAAGTCATGTTAGGGCTGGCGCATTGGGCGACTGGAGAAACTGTGTAACAGTCCTCTGGACTTTGGCGATGCGGTCGAGCAAGGGAAACAATCCCCTAGCTCCATGTTGAATCTGGCCCCAGGAATATCAGATCCCTGCGCCGGAGCGAGGTCTGATTTCTTGAGGTTGATAATCCAGCCCAGTGACACCAGAGTATCCATCACGCACAGTGTGGAGGCTCTGCTTAACTGAGGACCTAAGGCCCTGAAGCCAATGCGTCTAGATACGGGTGGCGACACCTGCCCTGAGACCTGGCTAACTGAGCTGGGATTAGCATAAGTTTGGTGAACACCCTTGGCGCCCGTGGAGATGCGAGAGGGAGCCGCACGAAACTGATAACCGCGTCCGTCGAAGGAGAACGGAGGTACTTCTTGAACTTCGGGGTGCAATGGAACATGGAGGTATCGTCTTTGAGATCGATTGACATAAGCCAATCCCCTGTCTCGGCGGAGGAGATCACTGACCTGAGTGTCTCCATCCTGAAAGAGCGGCACCTCCAGTAACTGGTTCAACCCTCTGAGATTCAGAATGGGTCTGAACCCTCCGTCCCTTTGGTCACTAGGAAGTAGGTGGAATAAAACCCCTCTCCTTGTTGACCCACAGGAACCACCTTGATGGCTGCCTTGTTCAGTAAGGACTGAACCCGGGACAGAAGGCGTCCGCCTTGTCGGCGGGGAGGAGCGGCACAGGCGTGTGCCGAACCCCGGAGAAAGGGACGGAGGATCTCACCTCCACTGTGGCAAATGGCCATCCCTGAGCGTGGACAGGACCCAGGGATTTGAGGTGGCTGCCTCCCACTCCCGAAGGAATAGGGACAACCGGCCGCCGACAGGGACGTGTGGCATGAGGCAGTGCACCCCCACAGTCGGCAAGTCTCCGCTTGCGTGAGTGGGGGGCAATAAGGGTTCTGGGGAAGTGATCAGTGGGAAGCCGGGGCTGGCTTCCCCTTGCCCCGAAAAGGCTGCTGAGCTTGAGCAGGCCTGCCCTTGCCTCTTGCGCGCCTGCTCCGCTTGGACTGCAAAGGGGCAGTCCACTTTGCAGCGTCCTTCGCCGGGGCAGAAGGATAAGCGGAAGCGAGCGGGGAAGGCCGGTGGCGAGGAGCGGAGGGTTGCTCCAACAAAGGCTTAGAGTCTTTGAAGGTAGAAACAGCCTCCGCGGCCTCCCGTACAACCTGCAATGCCCCAGGGAACAGGGAAGATCCCATGGTATAGGGCAATGACAGGAGCGCCTGTTGCGTGGCCGGTGAATACCGCGCCACAGACAACCACAGGCGGCGCAGGCCCATCACGGCACCCATCATCTGACTGGCACAGCACCTAATGCTATCCCGAGCCAGATGTGAGTGTACCCCGTGAGCTGCAGCTGAGCACTGGCGTCCACCCGACAAGACAGGTAGGCTGAGTGGACCGCCAGCTTTAATTGCTGGGCTGCGCACCGGTAGCACTCCTCGAAGGACCGATGCGCAGACTTCAGCGTAAAGGGAATTAGTAGGAAAAGGGGAGGCGCCTGCCCTGCCTGGCGAGGCCAAGGGGAAGGCGAGGGCGATCCCCAAAGTAGCGGCCTTAAAGAGACACTTTCGTCCACCACTGGCGGCTCGAAGCGCCTCCTCTCCCAACTGGTACCTCCTGCCAGCGTCCGGGCAGATCAAATCTCGGCGAGAACCAGTCAAGAGAGGATTTACCACCTCACCTACCAGTGATGGTAGAATCGCGGGGCGCCTCGGAGACCTTGGTAGGTAAGCGAAAGCCTCCCGGGGAGCCGAAACTCCGCGGGGAGTCGGGCCTGTGTTGGAGCGGCCACCTGGGGCAGGGCCCGGCAATTTTTCCCGCACCTGCCTCAGAGGCGGAGCCAAAGGAGTACGGCACTCCCGCCTCCGACTCCTCCCTCCCTCCATCGTCCTCCATGTCCACCTCGGCATAATCCTCGGCAGCCGTACTCTCATACTCCTGAGAGACCGCCGAGGATACACCAGAGGCTGAACCTGAAAGACCATAAAGGTCAAGAGAGCCAGAAGCAGCGAAGTCGCCCAGCCGGGCAGGGAACTTCGCCCAAGTCGCCGAGGCGCGAGGAGGAACCTGCCGCGACAGGCCTCCCGGGCAACCCAGACTGGCTGCCAGGCGCCGAGGTGTCCCCGAGCTGGGCAGTGCCGAGGCGACTGCCAGTCAGGGCACCAGGCGAAGCCAGGGGCAACCCTGCATCGCCGGCGCCAGCCACCTGTGAAGCCGGACCTACGCCCGTAAGCGAGGCCGCCACTAGGTGCCGAGGCAGCTATCTCCCGCGGCCTAAGCGGGATCAAGCTGCCCAGGGGGCGGCGTTCCCGAGCGAAGCTTCGGGCGCAGCCAACCCCCAGATGCGTCAGATCCACCCCCCGACCGGCGTGGTGAGCTCCTTCACGGAACCCATCCAGCGCCCGTGTCGATGAGAGATTTCACTGGCGCCATCTGTTCCTGGAAAGAAAGTGGTTAGTGATTCAAGCGGGCACAACTGGTGCCCGACACAACAGAGGTAGAGACAGGAGCAGGTTGAGGTTTGGTATTAGATGCCTCCTTGGAACCTTTAGCTCTTTTGGGAGCTGGCTCCATTATGGGAGGCGGCTCCCGTAGACCCTTTTTTGTGTGTGAGCGGCTTGGGCCGGGGATCCTGTGCCCAGATATCACCCCGCCGAATCAGGTTGCTGTAAAACAGCTGATCCACTTTCGAAGGCTCTAATCGTTTGAGGCGTAAAAGTGGCACATGCCACACACCCCTCTTCCTCATGCTCAGTTTGGGTGAGGCAGCGTAAAGCACACCTCGTGTGTGTGTCCCTGACAGGAATGGCAGCGAGGGCCACGAAGTACAGGATTTAAACTGCAACAAGTAAACAAACCTGTGCAGCAATCAACCCCATACACACAGACATATATGAAAAACACGCATGGGCTGACACAACTAATCGCGACAGCGTAGCATACAGTTGACAATAACCATAATCGCGCACTGACATAACTTCAACTTCGACTTATTATCGTAAGATAGAAAATGCAAGCAGTGGAAGCGCCCTACATGTAACCACATATACGTAAAATTACTAACACCACCTGTAACATTGAAAAACCACACGGGAAACCAATGAACAGTGATGCTAAGCGAAGGGACCTGGCAGCGCCATCTTGGCGCGCCACTCCGGGCGAGCCGACGCGACAGGTACCAAGTTACAACTAAAATTATGAATGAAAAAGGTTCAGAACAAGCCTTCAAATCGCCCATGCAGGGAAAAAAAGAGAACCATACATACAGTTGCTGTTTCTGACCCACTCATAATTCTCGCCCGGGAAAAGAAAACTTTCTAATGCGGACCCACGTCTTGTCGAGGAAGCGACCATGGAAAGTGAGAGTGCGAGGTTCACGGTCCTAGAGTTACCTGCTCTTGGCTGTAGGGGCCAGAGGGCCCTGTAAGGGTGGTCTCACAAGACAAAGCGTAGTTTTTGTTTTGTAAATATTTTATTCAAATATTGTTACAACTGTAAAGTAGGGATTTTAAATGGACATTTAAATGCTTATAAGTACCCCAAGGAGGAATATATATAAAAAGAATCTTCACTTTAGCAAGCTCAACTAATAATGATTCACTAAAATCTCATAAAAATGAAACCAAGAACTATGTTGGGGCTGGTAGTCTCTAAAGTCATTGCAAAGACTGGCGCTGAATTTTTTTCTTGTATTTACCCTTACCGATATCTGACATGACAATGCGAAGGGAAAGATGGGGACGATTCAGTACATGAAAACAGGATCATGGAATGATTACTTTCCTGTGTTGCTGTTCTACCACCTACCATGCTGACAGGACTATATGACACTCAGTTTACATGTTGTTACATGCCAGTTCCTGTCTGCTGTACCACCAGTAGGGGAAACTCACCAGTTGATGTTTGTGGAGGAAAACAGCATTTCCCCCTGCTCCTCCTCGGTGTTGTTGTTCTGTTTACAGGGAGCAGGTCGGCCATTGCTGGGAACACATGAAGACATAAATAGTGACAGCACTACAGATGATGACAGTGTAAGGTGACATCCAGTATTTTCAGATTTACTTTTTAAAACGATACAAGTGTTTCGAAATACTTGCATTACCTGAAGACTGACAAACTGATTACATCACCATACATTTCCAGTGTGATACCGCTACCTTTAATCTGAAGAGATGTATGCCTACTACAACCTCTTATCAGAATAAAGTACCTTGCCTCTAAGTCTAATGACTTAGGTAAAAAATTTGAGGTAAAAAAACAATGTCTAGTGCAAGAAGATTTAAAAACCCAACCAAACCTGCACCTTACGCTTCCAGAATTAAAACCAGGAAGACCCTGGCTTGAGGAAGTCATATATACTATATCATACAAAATATATTATATAAAATATCATCTAATCTGGCTTTGGAAAATACAAGTCCCATGCAAGATAAATATGAGAAGAAAAAGTCCCATGCTACCTTAATAGGAAAGTCAAATGCACTTCCATGTTATTGACCTCACTGACCTTCTAAAGTTTGGCCAATAACATCCTTGATCATTTCCAGATGTAGAACTACATTTACAATGGCCATCCTGGTGACCTTGGCCACCATGAGGGTGCTATGTAACATTTTCATCCAAATGAAGTAAATCTTTTGGAGCCAGAGTGAACATAAATCCTCTCTGTGTGTATGATCCTGAGAGTGGAACTGATGTCAGATGCCATTTGCAAGTATTTCAGTACCATTCAAACTGGCAATCCATCAAACAAAACCAACTGTGATGTAAACAAGTGGAATCATATCTGCTGCTGTCACTGTGATTGGTCCTCAATCAACATTCTTAGATCCAATTGACCCTTTCTGATCTAAGATCCCACCCAAGGAAGACACGTACCATGTTTTATTGACCTACAGTAAATCCTTCTCAAGCATATCTTAGGCCTTCTTGAGGATGACCTCGACTCTTGACATGACATATCGATGTGTCAAAGCACATTCCTGGGCTATAAAGTTTTCTTTATTTGCTTTTTGTCCAATGCTGCACTCTGCACTGTAAGTGGTGTGTAAATAATCGAGTCTGGACGAGACAATCCAGTGATTAACATCATGAAAACAAGCTGTGCGAGCCAGCTGAGTTACCTACCATGAGTACAGCGATGTGTCATCCAGGTGAACCCGCACGATGTAGATGAGGCATATCACACAGCGGATGATCAGATCAAAGAATGTACTGGCTAGACCTGAAACACAGCAAGCAATAAATATCTGTAGCACTAAGATGCCTTGTCAAAGCAAAGCAAAGTCTTTTCTTATGTGAAGTGCAGCAATGTTAAATCTGAAATGTGTGTTTAATTTTATTCTATGGGTCCTGTGAATTTTCAATGGGTCAGGCAGACATCTGAAGCATACAGGACCCAATGTCCTGTTACTTTGAAACACCATTCGTGAACACTGGACAATGTGTGGACAAGATGTGCAGGACTAGGTTTTGTTCAGCATCAAAACCTACAGAACATTAGCAGAAGTTACATATGAGATCAAATCTCACTTTGTCTAGAAATAGTAGATATACAACTGTGGTTTCTATAACAACAAAATGACTTTTTGCAGTGTAATCTTGAATGAAATTTACACAACTAAAGCACCTATATATATTTATAGCCAATAGTATCTCTTTTGATTTTTCAAAATCAAAACATAATGCATCTCTTTCACCATGTTAATAAATCATAAATACAGTACAACCTAGACGACAAATCGGACACCTACGTGATGAAGAGTTTCGGATCAGGAGTCTCCGCAACCTCCCTCTGATGGATAACTCATGGGTGAAAAACTTGACTGGCGCGATCCTGGAATAAATAATAACCATAGCTAATGCAGGCGACAGGTAATCAGATAACATATCAAGACATACCTTGTGACATCTGATACGAGACAACTATCTCATAAAACATGCCCTGAACATCTCATGCCAGTCAAATATCTCATACAACAACTGGTGAAGGTCCGGGTTAGAATGAACCTTCAGTAACCCATGCTTGTCGTGAGAGGCGAGTAATGGTATCAGGTGGTCAGGCTTGCTGACTTGGTTGACATATAGAGAATCTCACCCAAGTGTCTTCTGATATCAATTATATCAACACGAGTTGATAAAGTTACAAATATCCGAGGCTTGCCGAGGATATTTTTACTTTATCAACGAGTGTTGATATATTTGATATCAGAAGACACGAGGGTGAGATTCTATTTATCATCCAAAATCACTCTTCATTAATTTTCAATGAAAAATGTACATCTCTGAACATGGTACTGCCATTAGACTTGCAGTGCAGCGATGTCATAGCATTGTGACGTCATCAAGTACATGACGTCATAGCATTGTCAGGGCATTGTACAAAATCTACTGTCAAAACGATATCTCCTAGGAGATATCGTTTGATCTCACACAAGCGATATCTCCTGTGGAACACAGTTTTGGATGATAAATGTCATCGGTTCCCAATTGCACAGATCGATGCTCATGCTGTTGATCCCTGGATTGTCTGGTCCAGACTCTATTATTTACAGACCGCAGCCATATAGCTGGAATATTGCTGAACAAGGCGTAAAACTAAACTCACTCACTCACTCATACAACATGCCCTGAACATCTCATACCAGTGAAATATCTCATACAACATGCCCTGAACAGCTCATACCAGTCAAATATCTCAATCTGGCTGCATATCATTGAAAACATAATGGAGCCCATACATAATATATGCACAGAGGCCATTTAAACTGGCTGACTGTATCCTGATGACAACAGAGAAAGGGGCAGATCATGCTGATATCCATACCATATTCACAATAATAATCTCCCTGAGTACTAAGAAAATTGACAAAGGAAAGTTGCAGTTACCACACACAATTTATATCTGTTTTCAGAGATATCGTAGTGTACAAACTAGTTTAAACTCCTGTGAAACTTGAATTTATGATAATAGTGACAAGGCTATCATGTACTAATTCTGTGTTGCTGCTTGCTGTGAAAATAATGTATCATACCCAAGACAATATGTTCAGTGATGTAAATATTCTGTTTTTCTTTTGGGTACATTTAAAGATTACTTTAGACAAGTTTAGAACTTGGTCCGGGGGCACTTATTGGAGCTGAACACCTATTATAGCAAACACTTCATAACTTTGTCTTACATAACTAAATGTCCTACAAGCCTCCAATAGAATACGACAAACTGTACCAAACACCACACATGAACGTTGTATCTGTTTTATTCAACTGATCAAAGCAAACCTGTGCCAGTCATCAGGGTCAAAGCTTGGGTCATCTTCATCGTCACTTTCAGACTGCCACCCAAGGTCGATTCTTTCACAGACAGGAATCTGCTCAAAGTCCATTGCTGTAAGAAAAAAACTTTGATTTAACGAAAACTAGTCACATCCATCAGAGCGATCTTACAGTGAGTCACAACGACCTGGCTTTACTGCACACACAATACTGCGTCCTATATCATAACATATAAGGAAAGCAAAAGGAAAGTCTGTTTAAATCATAAACAAGCATGAACACTGACTTTACCTAACATCGGAAACAGCACACCTGAATGCAACCTTTGACATATCAAACAGGAGCCTGGATACGTTGCATTGCTGCTTTGTTTCTCAGTTATCCTTGAACAACACTGGGTTAGATCTAATCAATCCTGACTGCCACAAATGTAACATCGGACTCAGTATATCTTCAAAGCAATGCATTTAAGGGCTGCGTTTTTGTCAAATGGTACATCTGACTTAACTTGAAAGACTTTTGAGGTGGTTATGTTACGCATATCTGAAACAAAATGCTTCAGTGCAGAAAATGTAAGTAAACTTGAATTTCTTGTCACATTATCTTCAACTTTCTGTTTAAATCTGTAGTCATAACTCATGGGCACCACAGTAAGTCATAATGGGCACTGGTATATTAAATCATCTTGACTAATGCAACGGTATATTGAATCATCTAGATTATAATGCACTGGTATATTAAATCATCTTCATTAATGCACTGGTATATTAAATCATCTTGATTAATGCACCGGCATATTAAATCATCTTGATTAATGCACTGGCATATTAAATCATTTTGACTAATGCAACGGTATATTGAATCATCTAGATTATAATGCACTGGTATATTAAATCATCTTGATTAATGCACTGGTATATTAAATCATCTTGATTAATGCACCGGCATATTAAATCATCTTGATTAATGCACTGGTACATTAAATCATCTTGACTAATGCAATTATTAAATCATCTTGATTAATGCACTGGTATATTAATCTTGATTAATGCACTGGTATATTAAAATGGTATATTAAATCATCTTAACTAATGCAAGGGTATATCATATCATCTTGATTAATGCACTGGTATATTAAATCATCTTGATTAATGCACTGGTATATTACATCATCTTGATTAATGCATTGGTATATTAAATCATCTTGATTAATGCACCGGCATATTAAATAATCTTGATTAATGCACTGGTATATTACATCATCTTGATTAATGCACTGGTATATTAAATCATCTTGATTAATGCACTGGTATATTAAATCATCTTGATTAATGCACTGGTATATTAAATCATCTTGATTAATGCACTGGTATATTAAATCATCTTGATTAATGCACTGGTATATTAAATCATCTTGATTAATGCACTGGTATATTAAATCATCTTGATTAATGCACTGGCATATTAAATCATCTTGATTAATGCACTGGTACATTAAATCATCTTGATTAATGCACCGATACATCAAATCACCTTGATTAATGCACTGGCATAATAAATCACCTTGATTAATGCACTGGCATAATAAATCACCTTGATTAATGCACCTATACATCAAATCATCTTGATTAATGCACTGATACATCAAATCATCTTGATTAATGCACTGGCATATTAAATCATCTAAATTATTGCACTGGTATATTAAGTCACCTTGAAAAAATGCACTGGCATAATAAATCACCTTGATTAATGCACTGGCATAATAAATCACCTTGATTAATGCACTGGCATAATAAATCACCTTGATTAATGCACTGGTATATCAAATCGTCTTGATTAATGCACTGATACATCAAATCATTTTGATTAATGCACTGGCATATTAAATCATCTAGATTAATGCACTGGTATATTACGTCACCTTGAAAAAATGCACTGGCAGAATAAATCATCTCGGTAATATATGTTCATGTTTCTACTGTCTACTATCCAAACATAGGATCAAAAGAAATCTCACAGATCATATATATGAGGTCACAAATGCCTCACAATCTACTGCAGGATAGGGACAGAAGTATGTATTGCAAACAGTTCAGCCAGATCTTATCTCTATGTTTCATAATATTACAGGACAGAATGAAATATCATTACATCTCCAGAATGTTCCACCTTTGATGATGACAATGGCAAACAATTGTGCTATATTCTCATTTCTTCAAAGAAGTATAATTCTGATATCAGTTCAGTAGTTACAATGGGGATCTATGTTTGGTTTGTTTGCTGCTTCACACAACACTCAGCAATAGTCCAGTCGTATGAGGTGAGGTGAGGTGAGGTGAGGTGAGGTGAGGTGAGGTGAGGTGAAATCGGGTTTAACGTCGTGCTTGAGAAAATTTCGCTCATATGACGACGTGCATGCGTGTGTATGTGTATGTGCGGCTGCTTGTACTAGCCCAGACTTAAGCTGGTTTTATAGTGCTAGCCCACTGAGATACCATGCCGCAGTCAAGCATGAATACCCCACTCAGACACATTATACTGACTCTGAGCCGACCAGTCCTTGTTGTACCCATTAATGCTGAGCGCGCCAGGCAGGGACCAACAAGTACCATATTTTAACGTCTTTTGGTATGACGCGGCCGGGGATCGAACCCGTGACCTTCCGCTCTCCGGGCGGACGCTCTAACTACTACACCACGGAGGCGGTCTCCAGTCGTATGAAGGTGACCTGTAAATATGGGACCAAACAACCCAGTGATTTACATCATGAGTATCTGTCTACATCTACACATATGGGTTAAGATGATATGGATTAACCATATCACAAAGCCAGACCATCCAATCCTGTTAATCGCCTCAAATAAACTTCGATCCTTGGGGGTCTAACATAGGACGCAAGTTATTTGGAACTGAGCTCACATATTCTTATCTTTACTGAAAGATGTGATGTGAGTCTGATATTTCTGTCAGTGTGGCTTTGATAAAGCTTCTGTAAACATACTTATAATATCTATCATGTAGGGGTGGTGGGGTAGCCTAGTGGTTAAAGTGTTTGCTCGTCACGCCAATGACCCGGGTTCCATTCCCCACCAAAAGTATTTCTGGTGCCCCCCACCGTGATATTGCTGGAATATGGCTAAACGCAGCACAAAACAAAACTCACTCACTATTATGCAACAGAAATTCATTATTTTCCAAAACATAGAAACTTACATGCTCATGGTGAAATATAGAAAATATTTTTTATTTACTGATATGTTTTGAAACCTCATCAACTTTTTCATGGTAATGGTCATGTGACTAAGCTGCCTTCATCTGTATTGATTCTTATTTACATCTTTATCATTTCACACACAGGAAACATAAAACAGCAATGGAAGACTTCTAGGCAAAAAGGGTCCTACCTACATTTAACAAACAATATTATCATCATTAATAATGATAATAATTTAAGCTGTGTGATGGACATTGCAGAGATGCCAACCCTAATTTAGCCCAATTAGCATGATTAGTATTTTGGCCAAAAACTGATGCAAAAATTAGTATATTTTGGCAAAA